TCAGTAGTAGCAGGGTGACATTGTGATAAGTAGGCAATGCTCTACTTTGAAATTACTTCTTCCTATATTTTAGGAAATAATGTGAGATAATTTGAAACAGCTCTGTTCACCGCTATAGCATTGTACCTTTTTATTTTGAGAGCATAAGTAGTTAAGGCAAAACCGTGGACATTTCATGTGTTGTGTGGGCATTCGGCTGTGATGTCTGCCTTAACTGGTTCTCAGTATTGTCTGTGGGAGAGAAATACCTCAGGCAGGTGGATTTGGTTGGGAGTGTATGGTCATCTGGCTGCTAGTGAATTTTTAGTTACTTATGCAAATTGTACTTGAGCATCTCTTCAGTATTGTTTCTCTAACCCCTTCTTGGAAAACTGACACATACAAAGTTGTTTTTAGTCTACTGAACCCTGATGGAAATGCAGAAAATATATAGGTGGACTGCTACAGATGGTGAGAAAACTGAAGTGATAAGACTATAAGGAACTAGTGACCTATGAAAACCAAAAGAAACGGCTGCAGTCCAGGCACAATGAATTACATACTTACTCAGTATGTACGCCGTTTCAGCCTGTGGAGACTTTACAGGAGATGGGAAAAGGCTCTGTATTTCAGAAAAATCACAGTTATTCTGGAAGTTTCTAATGTCTTAGGGAACCAGAACTGAGATCTGTGTGTAGGTGTGCTTACAGCTGCAAGAAGGGTCCTACCCCAGAGGAACTCAGAAGAGCCATCCTAAGCTCGGTAATGGGGTGGTCGGGGGGTGGGATAAAAGTGGGAGGTTTTGTATTACAATTGAGGAGAATCCTTAAGGGGATCTATAACTGTGCACTTATGGCTCTTTAATTAAAACTAAATGTTTCAATTTAAAAGTCAGTTCCTTGGTCACAGCCACCTTTTAAGTGCCTAATAGCCACATGTGGCTAAGTGATGGTCATATATCACTGCACAGAAACAGAACATTTCCATCATTGCAGAAGTTTGTATTGGACAGAATTTTGTCACACAGTTTCTTACTTCAGTGTAGTGTAAGACACTTGTGACGTTTGCGACGGGCACTGAAGTTTTTGTTCATTAATAGTGAACACCATTTAGCTAACAGGACTAAGAAATTTGAGTAGGATGACTTTTACATATTGGTGTTTTGTGTGTAAAGAGATGAAAGATTAGTTTTATATATCTAAAGCAGTACACACTTAAATTGCTGATTTATGGACTATGTGGATTAAGCACCTTAAGAATTGGCCAGACATTATATTTAAAATATAACTTGAATTGAAACCTGGCTTTCACAGCCCACCATTAGTGTGGCCTTCTCTGTACCCATGAACTGACCAAGTAAGAGTCTCTGTGTTAAAGTCCTTTGATCCATAATCAAATCTTTAAAAAAAAATTGTTTTTAAAAATTGAGGTGAAATCCATATGACATGAAATTAGCCATTTGAAAGTGAACAGTTCAGTGGCATTTGGTACATTCACAGCATTGTGCAGCTTACTACCTCAAGGTTTCAAACATTCTCATCACCTCCATAGGAAATCATACTCTTTAAGCAGTCATTTAACACTCCCCTTTTCCCAGCTTTTGGCAACCACCAATCTAATTTCTGTGTGTATGAATTTACCTATTCTGAATATTTCATGTGAATGGAATTGCACACATGATCTTTTGCATCTGGCTTATTGCACCATTATCAAATTTTAAGTAACAGTTTCAGGATTCACATTATCATTTGTGTTAAACCATAGGCAGTTCTGTTGCCTGACTGTCTTTTGGTAAAATCTTTCACTTGTTTTAAAATTTTTGGTAATATACCTTGTATCATAGCCAGTTCATTAATCTTCCTTTATCATAAACAATAGCATTAGTTTCTTTTAGTTTGAGGTATGGCAGTTTTATTAACTAGAACACTTCTGATAAACTTTCCCACCTAATTAGAATTGTTCTTTTTTGAATACTTGATGAGGGTGTGCTCCTGATGAGGATGTATCTTCTGCACATGGAGATGCCATTAGAAAATATGAAACTGCTTTCATTCCTTGGGAGGTTTACTAACTTCTCCTTGACTAGCAGATACGAGGCGTGCAGGACTCGAAAATCAAGCCCCAATGGGTATGTGTGCCAGCCATGAATAAGTGACTTTGGACCTGGTAGAATTACAAGCCTATGCGCATTAGTAGCCAGTAAATCTGGATGTGATGTATATTATGAATAATAGGAGTAGAATGAGAAAGGGTTGGAGATGTGTGTGAATGCGTATGTGTTTGAGAGAAGAGACTGGGTACAAATACACTGACAAGTTTCAGTGTAAAGAACATGTTGCTGTATCTGTGATTTTTCTGGTTCATTGTTCCAAAAACATCAGTTCGCAGATGTTGCCACCATTGCTATTTGAATTGTAATGTGATCCGTGGTCTGAATGCAAGGATAAGCTTTTTTTCTTCCATCCTGGGGTAACTATTGTCAGCTTCTGATTTTGAGGCCCTTTAATGTCATCATTATGTGTATATTAATAACTTAATTGCTGTTTGTACTTGACCCTCTTTCTGCCTCTGTAAGCTGTACAAACTGAAGACAAATGTGTTATAAATGTAGGGTGTTTTGAAAAATTTATTTATTTTTTTTTATTATGCTGCGTTATGCAGCCATAGAGGTAGTCTTATGACTGATGTCACTGTCCTGAGAGGTGCCTTACAGCCTTAGGCATCTATTGTGTATTTGTAAATCTAAGAGTTGGTTATAGAACCAGGTGTTGAGGTGTGTGTACTGTTGGGTCTTATAAAGCCCATTTGCAGTTTGGGATGTCTTGTAAGTGATGAGAGAGCCCCCCATACTGATTGTCTCGGTCTTCCTTGCTTTACAATGCTTGACCATCCGGTGTCATCACTTACTCGGTTTACTTTTACTAAGGGATTTTCAGCAGGGGCTGTGTGAGGAAGGGTAAGGTGGCATTTGTGTAACTTGAAGAAGCCCATTCTAATATGTCAGAATGTTAGGTAAGTTACCACTTACTTCATAGGGTTGAGGGGGTGGTTAAATAAGATAGCAATCAGCACATGAGGGCGCAATAAAAATTTAAGTGGATTTAGGGTAACTTGCCACAACCTCCAACCCTGCCTCCAGCACTGTGTGGATTTGTGAGTGTTTCTATCCCTGTCTGGCCCATAATAGATGTGCAGTATATGTTAGTTGATAGAATTGAACTGACGGCTCATTACATATTAGGGAGTGGGGAGTCACTTGTTGAATATCTCCTAGGTGCGAGGAGTTCTTTAATTGCAACTAAACAAATGTGTACTCTCATTCAGTGCTCTGAGCAATCCTGTCAGGCAGATGGCATGTCATTTCCATGATTCAGTGAAATAATTGCCTCTCACCACTTGTACGTGACACTCTAGGCTTTAAAGCCAGGCGTCAGTTCAGTGCTGGCCTCTCAGCACCAGCGTCTGCTGCCTCCTGCATCCTGAGGTTGGCACATCAGCCTGATCACCTAGCACTGCCTGACTTTCTCTGGAAGTTGAGTGATTTTTCCTTACTATACCTGTAAACTTTTCTCTGAAATAGGAAGTGAAAAAAAGTCTTTTGTGAAGTACAATTACTGTTTCTTCCAAACCTAGTTCAAATGCTTTTTCCATTTCTGTTAACATCCTGCTAATCGCATAGGTTGGGGTGTCTTAGACCATTCACTCTACCTTCCTGCACCTGTCCGGTGTTGCCCCTGTTACCTCTGTGCTTAGCATCTCCTGTCCAGCTACACTGCGCCGCGGTGAGGGCCATGCTGGTGTTGCTGGCTGACGTGTCTTTCCATTCTAAGGTCATCCAAATACGACTGTGTAGGATCATCTGCAGCAGTGACACTAAGCATGTCACTTCTCAAGAGATCTTGGTTGCCCTTTACCTTTCAGGGGCAAGAAACTCCTTTCTTCACTATTGCATGTTATAGAAGATTGGGCCAAAAACTTTTCTTGACTTACAGGTCTTAACACTTCAGGGGAGTGATTTTAAATATAACTTTGGCAGATTATGAATTCACTGTTTTGTGGTGTGCAGGATTCATGTGACTTCAAATTGTTCAGTGTCTTTTTTGCATCTTGGAGATTCTTTAAAGCAAGGGCACTTTCATACCAGAGTATCATTAGGCTTTCAGATATAAAAAGAAACTTAAACATTTAAGTGTCAGTATATATTTCTCATACATCTCTTTCAGTGATATCATAAGTAGATTTTCAGTGTGACGATTGTGGAAACTGGATTGTTGCTTGATCTTAGAATTCTAGTAGAGAGACAAAGCCAGTGTCATTTTAATCATCTTTTCTGAGATGTTGCAAGGGCCCATACACATTTCAGGGACTTTATACAAATGTCCTTTTTACTTTATTCTTATCAAATAGAATTTATTCAAGGATCTTGATGGTAAAACATGTATGATTATAGAATTTTAAAAGGGCTAATCATAGCCTTATTTGACTACAGCTACCAAGAGAAACTAGAAAAGTAATGTGTCTTTGTAGAGCAAAATCTTCCTAATCTGATCTGTGTATGCTGCCGATTACTCTTTAAATATCTGTGACAGAAAAGTTTTTGAAGCAAAATATGAGAATAAGCATGCTTTTATGAGTACATTTCAGTTACTAAAATGTTTCAAAATTGGCTGTGATTGGCAGATTTTTAGAAGTAGGTTAAACAGATTTGTAGTTTGAAACCTGAGTTAGTTGCCATTAGTTAGGTCTGGGTTATAGAGATTTTTGTTGGGTTATTGAACTTACATTTTTACTGTATTTTAGAACATAAATAAAATAGATGTATAGTTTCAATTTTTAATAGAACTTATTTCTATTAAATAGCACCTGTGGAACCTTCTCAAGAGGAACAATTGTTGTGTGAAGGTAAGCGTCTATAATATGACTCTTTGAATATCTAATTGAGAAAACATTTAAGTTGTCTGTAGTATATAAAGCTAGATATTGTTTTGTAAATATATATTATATCTCAATTTCTTGTGTAGGTTCAAATTCAGCTGTTAGCATGGAACTTTCAGAAACTGTTGGTAAGAAAATTTCTGACCATATTAATACAGTATTATGAAACTCTTTCACTCTCAAGATTTGAGGTGCACATGTAAGTGTTATGATTATTGTAATGCCTACATTTAACACTGACATAGAATCTTTGTGTTTGGATTAGCCATGCCGTGATACATTTAGTAGTTGTCAATATAGAGGAATTGGGTGGAAGAATGCTAGTCAGTTTAAATAGTTACACTTGTTCCATTTACTTTGTGAGAAATTCCTTCCTTTTTGTAACTTTCTTATTTATAAGACTTTTATATTTCCAAAAAGTTGATACCAAAGATATTACTTGTAGAGGGAAAAGAAAAGAGCCCCTAAATCCTGTGTTCTGGTTTTAAACTTTCCCTTGTTTCCACTGTCAGGGCATTTTGACGCTGGAGTTCCTGGGCTGTTACGGATGATACATCTCCTGTTCACGTTTTGTTTGTCCTTATGAAATGAAGCTTTGTACAAATAGCGACCTCTCGTAGTCTCTGAGTCAGCTCTGGCGTCGGCAGTGATGCCAGCTTGAAAGCCATGATCCATTTCTGTTGTGAGAGATACTTTCCTGTGTGTCACTAGACATTGGAAACTGGAACCAAATATGCAAAGTTCTATTTGTTGTTTGAAAGCATCTGTGTTTTAAAGTATAGACTCTAAATTTTTTACCAGAATACTGAGTTAAAATACCTTATTTCAGTAGAAAATGGGGAGACAGAAATGTCCCCAGAAGAATCATGGGAGCACAAAGAAGAAATCAGTGAAGCAGAGCCAGTGGGTGGCTCCTTGGGAGGTGGAAGGCCCCCAGAGGAAAGTGCCCAGGAGATGATGGAGGAGGAAGAGGAGATACCAAAACCCAAATCTGTGGTTGCACCACCAGGTGCTCCTAAGAAGGAACATGTAAATGTAGTATTCATTGGGCATGTAGGTAAGTTGCGTTCACAGCAATAAGAAATGACCAGAGTTACTGTGTACAACAAACAGAACATCTTACTTGGCTACTTGGAGATGTTTAGTGAAACTGGAATTGATCTAAATGTCTTGACTTTTAACTTGATTTTTTAGCTGGCAAAAAATTGCCAGCACTTTATTCTTGAAGGTTAGGCCGATTAACAGTTGTATAATGGAATAGAAGCTGGAAGAAAATAAGCTACGGTATATTTGTATGATGCATAATTGGTCTCTAGACCAGTGATGATGGCTCAGCATATTATGACATTTATTAATTAACCTTCTAGATAATGTGCCTATTTTTTTGTGTGAACTTCAGTTACTCTGTTAACTTTATAGGATTGACTTTACTACATAGTTTGATTTTATGTAATGTAAGAAATTAATTGGAGTGAGTTCTGGATGCTAGTCAGGTTGCTGGTTTAGCACAAAACAAAACCCTATTTTATTTATTCAGGTGTTCTCTGTCTGACTTACTCCCAAAATTGTGAAAGGAAAATACAGGATTATGTGTCCTTTTTTCTTCTCTTGATCTCTGGCTTCCCCTCTTCTTTTTCAGTAGCGAGGACCCTTTTGAAATTTGTAAAAGCACACCTGTATCTGCTAAGAGTGAAAGGCAGGCTGGCCACCTAAATGGAGCTCTCAGTCCTGCTCTGCTCTTGCTGTCCACTGAGGCTCTGCTGGGGTGATTTATATTCTGTGGTTGCTGTGCTCTAAGCTAACGGTCAGGGAGGAATCTGTCCAAAAATTCATTTCTTTATCAGTAAAGCAGTTCTCAGTCATTGTTGAGCTGCATGGGATCTTAGCAGCTTCATTTTACAAAGAAGAAGGTAACTAGCCAGAGCGTGTGCCCCAAATTCCTATCATTTCAGTGGCTGTTGCAAGATGTAATTATATCAGCTAAATGATGCCTTCAGTTGTTGGTGTATTTAATTGTTGGTATTTGGGGTTTTTGTCTTTTACACCTGGTTTACACATTGTTGATGATTACTTTTAGATGCTGGCAAGTCAACCATTGGAGGACAAATAATGTAAGTATTTTCTGTTAAATAATAGAGTGAATTTAATGGAATGTTTTGGGCATTGCAAACATTCACACAAAGGAGATAAAACAGGTTACCCAACTTAAGAAAAATTAATAATAAAATGACATTACTTGTAGGGAAAGCTGATGTTAAGTAATTTTTGCAGTATGATTGTTGTTAATATTTTCTGATGGAATTTAGGTCTTCTCTAAAATCTTCTGTCATCACCACCAGGAACATAAATGTATTTATGAAAGCTGTCTTTTAGATTTTTCTATAAAAAGTAATATAGAATCTTAGATTATAGGAAATGTCAGGGTGCTTTGAATATAATTTTCTTGGGAGTAATGAAAAGCAGTTCTTGAATTACGTGCATGGGGAAAAGTTTTTTCTAATCCATCAACTCCTTAAATTTATAATCAAAGATGGGTGGTTGGCTAACATGCTGAGATTAGAAGATATGACAACACCATGGTTGACCTTCAGTAATGTATTCTAATATTGAAAATCTTCTTAATTAAAAGGCTTTTCTTTTTTTTAAAATTGAAGTATCATTGATATACAGTCTTTTAGTTTCAAATATACAGCACAGTGGTTCAATAGTTACACATATTATTAAATCCTCACCCCTCTAGTGTGATTACTGTTGATCAGTGTAGAAAAATGTTACATAATCATTGATTATGTTCTCCATGCTGTACTATTCTGACCAAATTATATTGTGATTGTGAATTATTGTGTCCTTTTATCCCCCTCAGCCTCTTTTCCCACCAGCTTGGTAACCGCTAGTGTCTTCTCAGTGTCTGAGTCTACTGCTATTTTGTTCCTTGTGTTTTGCTTTGTTTTTATATTCCACAAATAAGTGAAATCATACGGTATTTGTCTTTGGCTTGTTTCACTGAACATAATACCCTCTAGATCCATCCATGTTGTTGGAAATGGCAGTATTTCTTTTCTTTCTATGGCTGAATAATATTCCATTATGTATATGTACCACATCTTCTTTATCCAATAGATAAATTTATTTATCCTTTGTTCTATTTAAATTTATCTATCTTTTATTCTATTGATGGACACTTAGGTTGCTTCCGTACCTTGGTTATTGCAAATAGTGCAGCAATAAACATAAGGGTGCATATGTCTTTCCAAATCAGGGATTTATTTTTTGGGGGGGGGGTAAATTACTGGGTCAAAAGGTATTTCTATTTTTAGTTTTTTGAGGAACCTCCATACTGTTTTCCACAGCAGTTGCACCAATTTACATTCCCACCAAGGTGTAGGAGGGTTCTCCTTTCTCCACATGCTCACCAGCATTTGTTATTTCTTGTTCTTCAGATAATGGCCATCCTGGCTGGTGTGAGGTGATACCTCATTGTGGTTTTAATTTGCATTTCCCTTATGATTAGTGATGTGGATCTTTGCATGCGCCTGTTGGTCCTTTGTATTTCTTCTTTGGAGAAGTGTCTGTTCATGTCCTACCCCAGTTTTTAATTGGGTTATTGTTTTTTGGGTGTTGAGGCATATGAGTTCTTCATATATTTTGGATGTTAACACTTTATCAGATGGGTCATTTACAAATATATTCTCCCCTACTGTAGGATAAGGCCTTTCATTTTTAATCCCTCCTAAATTAGACCCATTTCTTTAAACTATATCATCAGAGGATCCAGAGGGCATATGTTCATGGTTTTGCTTTAAATAATCTTAGTTGGTAACCTTGCCAGTTACTTGTGAAAATTTCCACAACAGACCCTAAAAGAAGCTATTAAAAAGGAATCTTTAACTAAGGCTCTATGGATGGACATGTTGGGCCCACTTGATGTATTTTAGAAGAATATATTTTTTGCTTATTGGCTGTAATTTTGGTTGACATTTTCCTGGGCTTCTGTGGTTGGTTGGAAGCATGCTCTGTAGATGACTACAGAGCACACATAGAGATGAAGGCCGGAATAGGAAGGCTTTGATTTGGATAGATTGAGTCAAGGGAATTGTTAATTGCTACTAAGGAATTATTTAAAAATTATAATCTCTTTTTGACAAATATTTATAAAATATTAAATATTGAAATGTATTAGACCTAATTTCTTGGACAACACTGTTGGAATTAATTTTGTTTAGTATTTACAGTTACTTTTTAAAAAATTTTTATTCTGAAATAATTTGACTTAGAGAAATGTTACAAAAACAGTATAGGCTTCCTATTTGTCTTTCATTCAGCATACCTTAATGTTAACATTAAGTAACTATAGTATAGTCATCAAAACTAGGAAGTTAACTTTGGTGCAATATTAACTAAACTATGTAGATCTGGCTTGAATTTCACCAGTTTCTCCACTAATGTAGTTTTTCTGTTCTAGAAGTGCACACTGCATTTAGCTGTTAAGTCTCCTTATTCTCCTCTAACTTGTGACATTTCCTCTGTCTTGTCTTTCACAACCATCATCATTTGAAGAGTGCTATTCAGTGGCTTTATATGTTCTTATATTGGGTTTGAGTGATGTTTTTTACAAATAAATTGAGTTTATAGATTTTGGGCAAAATATCACCAAAGATACATTGTGTTCTTATCAGAGCATTCGGTCAGGGGTACATAATGTCAGTATTCGGCATGTTTTGTTGATTACTGGTTATATTAGTCATGATTGCTTGGTTAAAGTGATGTCTGCCAGGATTCTCCACTGTAAAGTTATATTTTCCCTGTTATCCTGGGGAAGATAATTTGAAACTATGTAAATGTCTTTTCCACAGAAATTTTCCATGATTGCACCATCTACCCAGTGGTACCTTTACTTTAAAATAGCTGTTTCCTGGAATTGAAATTCCCTGCAAGGGCTTTAGGTTTCCTTAACTTCACTGAATAATTTGTGAGTAATTAAGTGTTTGCTTCTTTTTCTTTAAATGTTTTCAGGTATTTGACTGGAATGGTTGACAAAAGGACACTTGAGAAATATGAAAGAGAAGCTAAAGAGAAAAACAGAGAGACTTGGTATAGTAAACTTTTATGACAATGATAAATAACTTTTAGGGAAATGCTGCCTGCTAAATGCTCTTGCAGTCTACTAAGATGTAAGTTCATGAAGTCTAAAATTGTGTCGTAACAAAGGAAAAGCTTCCCTTCCCCTCAGAGCACACAGCAGATCAGTTCGTGATGACTTTATAACTTACACAGAGAAAATTTGGAAACATCCAAACATCCTGTTGAGTAATAGACTTGTTCGGTAAATTATAACGCACTCATTTAATTGGGTCATTACCTGACAACTGAATGCATTTATAGAATTTATAATAAGCAGTAGTAGAACTTAGATTGTAGTGGAATTCGGGGAGGAAGCAGGTGACATAATTGTACTTCAGATATGATCGTTAACTATGTAAATAGTGGGAAGAAGAAAAGCATATGGACAGAATTACAGTGGTTACCTCTGAGTGGTGAGAGAGAGGGTCAGCTTTATTCTTTCTAACCTTACTTAGTTTTCAAAAGTTAATAAGCTTTATCTGTTTAGGACATTGATAGTCTTTTTTTCCCCCCATTTATATTCTTCTGTATTAAGGGAAAAAATCATAGTCAATGTTATACTTAAAAAAATGATTATAAACTATGAACTACAGATAACAGTATAATCTCAGATAACACCCACTGGTATAAATGGTTTGAACTTAATAATAATTTTACATGGCAAAGAAGTCCTGAAACAGTTTTTAGAAAGTAACCTGTCTCCAAATGGCAGGTCAGTGGCCTTAACTTTTGAAAAATATTCCTTGGTCATTATTTGTATTATAATTGTGCCAGATGATTATAAAATGAAATATGTATGAATTTATTACTTAATTCTTGGTGATACTGGCACTGGTACCAAGTAGTCTTTCTGTGTATGTTTTCATGTCAGCTTGTTCTTGTATGTTTCTGTCAACTTGTTTCATAAGTAATGTTTGCTTATTCAAAAGTAGAGCTTTCCTATGAAACCTTTGATGTTCCTATGAAACACTTCCTATGAAGTGGCATAAAGCAAGGAAGCAATTAGCATTAATCTATATGGAAAAAGTTTTGAATGTTCCCTGACCTGAAAAAGAACCTCTTAGGCTTTTCTGATGGCTTAAGACACATCTTGTTAACTGATACACAAAATAAATTGCCATAAAGCAGAAGCTCACAGACACAGTTCAGAGCTGTGGTGGCTTGATGCGGACAGGCTGAGGGTGGTTTCTGGGGCAGGAGCTTGGCCGTGCCACTCGCTGCTCGGGGCACGTGCTGCCTCTGTGACGGCTCGCTGCAACACAAATGCCGAGCGTTATTTTCTCCTTTCATCTTTCTTAAAAGCAGAAGTCCTCTTCAGATTTCTTTTAGTTAGTGAGAAAGTACTAATCTAGGTCCCCTGTGAAAGTGAGGTGGCATAACACGAACTTTAAGAAAGCGGAGGATGGAATGTGGGTACATGTAACAGGTCCAAGGGTTTGAATCACAGTGATAGTGATAGAAGTTTTATTCCCTTAATTTGCATTTCTACCCAGTCTTGTTACGTGTTAGAACTGGACATAAAGCTGGATATCATCAGTTACACCTTTAGTGGTAGAAGAATGTCTTAAAAACTCTTGTGTTCTTACCAATATTACTTTAAAATTATTTCAGGTACTTGTCTTGGGCCTTAGACACAAATCAGGAAGAAAGAGACAAGGGTAAAACAGTAGAAGTGGGTCGTGCCTATTTTGAAACAGAAAAGAAGCATTTTACAATTCTAGATGCCCCTGGCCACAAGAGTTTTGTCCCAAATATGATTGGTGGCGCTTCTCAAGCTGATTTGGCTGTACTGGTAAGAAAGACATTTCCAATTCACCTGAGTATTTGTTAGCAGACCCACTTAAACTTTAAATATTTGAATTCACCTTCTAAAAACTAGAATTTACGTTGTGATGAACTATAATATACATAGTCACAATTTTCACTTTGGTTTCACTAATATGCTCAAAGAATCTTTATAATTTGATTTACCTATGAAATAATGTTTTGTCTTTTCTCTACCATTGCTATTATCTATTTCTGTGTCAGAACCGAGTGTGTACTAAATGCCAAGCTCACTCCATTTTGTACCCATTTAGTGTTCTGTGGGTAAAAAACCAAAAAAATAAATGCTCTGTTTAAGGCCTGCCATTTTGTTGGTGGTGGTGCTCTTACACTAAGTCACAGACATGTTTGGGTTATAAGATAAAAAGGTATCCTCGATTTTGGAAAATTGAGGGAACGTTTACCAAAATTATTAAACCATTAGGCATTGTAATGTTCAAAAGCATGTATAAGTCATTTGCTTCTGTTTTCTGGCAAAAAGCTTCTGAAAAACTGAAAGAAAAGATGTGTTACTGCTAGAAGGTACACCTCAACATATAAGAATAAACTATTTGACTTCCTGGGACAGGTGATCTCTGCCAGGAAAGGAGAGTTCGAAACTGGATTTGAAAAAGGAGGACAGACAAGAGAACATGCAATGTTGGCAAAAACAGCAGGTGTAAAACATTTAATTGTGCTTATTAATAAGATGGATGATCCAACAGTAAACTGGAGCAATGAGAGGTAAGCTTAGATGTCTTACTGGCTTTTTTGTAGACATGTAAATGGAATTAAGGATGGTTTTGTTATTGTATGCTTTTTCCTGCTGGGGATTTTCTAAACTTACTCTAATGATGAAACTGTCACTGGGCGGTGGATTATGGAATTCTCCGTTCCTCCAAAGGAAACAGTTCAGGTAAGACGTGACGGAGAGTTAAACACAGGAGTTTTTTCACTTAGCAAAGCGGAAGGGAATGTAAGTGTTAGAGAGGAGCGGGCTGACCCTGAGGGTCGGTAGCCACTGGGTTTTACATGGTGTAATTTATGGGGGTTTGTTTGGTTTCCTCCCTCCCATTTTGTCATTCTCACACCATCTTTTGGACCTGTCTTGCTTCCTCCCCTTGAGCCTCTTTGTGCAAAATTGTGTTCATCATTTTTTCCATGAGTGTCTAAGCCAAACCCACAGTGGGGCCAGAACTGTGGTGTGAATGATAGGGTGGCCTCACGGTCATCAGCAACAAGGTCTTCCTTAAAAGTGTGTATGTTCCAAATCAGGAAGGTCCCAGTACCCATATCTTTTGCTTATCAGTTTGTGTTGAACCCCAAAAGGGGTTGGTCGGAGGAAGACAGTGGTCTCTGGGCAGAGACTGGGTGGTCTGCCTGGATATCATCAGTTACACCTTTAGTGGTAGAAGAATGTCTTAAAAACTCTTGTGTTCTTACCAATATTACTTTAAAATTATTTCAGGTACTTGTCTTGGGCCTTAGACACAAATCAGGAAGAAAGAGACAAGGGTAAAACAGTAGAAGTGGGTCGTGCCTATTTTGAAACAGAAAAGAAGCATTTTACAATTCTAGATGCCCCTGGCCACAAGAGTTTTGTCCCAAATATGATTGGTGGCGCTTCTCAAGCTGATTTGGCTGTACTGGTAAGAAAGACATTTCCAATTCACCTGAGTATTTGTTAGCAGACCCACTTAAACTTTAAATATTTGAATTCACCTTCTAAAAACTAGAATTTACGTTGTGATGAACTATAATATACATAGTCACAATTTTCACTTTGGTTTCACTAATATGCTCAAAGAATCTTTATAATTTGATTTACCTATGAAATAATGTTTTGTCTTTTCTCTACCATTGCTATTATCTATTTCTGTGTCAGAACCGAGTGTGTACTAAATGCCAAGCTCACTCCATTTTGTACCCATTTAGTGTTCTGTGGGTAAAAAACCAAAAAAATAAATGCTCTGTTTAAGGCCTGCCATTTTGTTGGTGGTGGTGCTCTTACACTAAGTCACAGACATGTTTGGGTTATAAGATAAAAAGGTATCCTCGATTTTGGAAAATTGAGGGAACGTTTACCAAAATTATTAAACCATTAGGCATTGTAATGTTCAAAAGCATGTATAAGTCATTTGCTTCTGTTTTCTGGCAAAAAGCTTCTGAAAAACTGAAAGAAAAGATGTGTTACTGCTAGAAGGTACACCTCAACATATAAGAATAAACTATTTGACTTCCTGGGACAGGTGATCTCTGCCAGGAAAGGAGAGTTCGAAACTGGATTTGAAAAAGGAGGACAGACAAGAGAACATGCAATGTTGGCAAAAACAGCAGGTGTAAAACATTTAATTGTGCTTATTAATAAGATGGATGATCCAACAGTAAACTGGAGCAATGAGAGGTAAGCTTAGATGTCTTACTGGCTTTTTTGTAGACATGTAAATGGAATTAAGGATGGTTTTGTTATTGTATGCTTTTTCCTGCTGGGGATTTTCTAAACTTACTCTAATGATGAAACTGTCACTGGGCGGTGGATTATGGAATTCTCCGTTCCTCCAAAGGAAACAGTTCAGGTAAGACGTGACGGAGAGTTAAACACAGGAGTTTTTTCACTTAGCAAAGCGGAAGGGAATGTAAGTGTTAGAGAGGAGCGGGCTGACCCTGAGGGTCGGTAGCCACTGGGTTTTACATGGTGTAATTTATGGGGGTTTGTTTGGTTTCCTCCCTCCCATTTTGTCATTCTCACACCATCTTTTGGACCTGTCTTGCTTCCTCCCCTTGAGCCTCTTTGTGCAAAATTGTGTTCATCATTTTTTCCATGAGTGTCTAAGCCAAACCCACAGTGGGGCCAGAACTGTGGTGTGAATGATAGGGTGGCCTCACGGTCATCAGCAACAAGGTCTTCCTTAAAAGTGTGTATGTTCCAAATCAGGAAGGTCCCAGTACCCATATCTTTTGCTTATCAGTTTGTGTTGAACCCCAAAAGGGGTTGGTCGGAGGAAGACAGTGGTCTCTGGGCAGAGACTGGGTGGTCTGCCGCCCTCCTTTCTCCCCTCCTGCTCATGCCTGTCGTACCTACTCTAACAAAACTAGAGTTCAGTTGCTTTGTAGTATAATTGAGTTTTTATAAATATTCATAGATATGAAGAATGTAAAGAGAAACTAGTGCCATTTTTGAAAAAAGTTGGCTTCAATCCCAAAAAGGACATTCACTTTATGCCCTGCTCAGGACTGACTGGAGCGAATCTTAAGGAGCAATCAGATTTCTGTCCTTGGTACATGTGAGTAACCTTTTCATCATTTTTTAAAACGTTTATATCTTAATAAGTAAAATATTGACTGTAACTTTGGCTTTAAAAATACCATGACCTTTACCCACTTTTAATTGGGTTATCTATTTGTTACTGAGTTGGAATACAAGTCCTTTATTGTGTGCAAATATTTCCTTCCATTCTAAGATGCGTTCTCACTTTCTTGGTGGAATCCTTTGAAGCACAAAAGGTTTTAATTTTAATGAAGTCCAGTTTATATTTTTCTTTCACTGATGGTGCATTTGGTGCCATACCTTGGAAAACATTGCTTAACCTGGTCATGGAGAGTTAGGCCTACTGTTTTCTTCTGTTACAGTTTTAGCTTTTACATTTAGGTTTGTGTTTCATTTTTGTAAGGTAAAACAAAGTCTTAATTCCTTTAGGTTTGTAAGTTTTCAAATTGGGAGATGTGAATCTTTGAATTTTGTTGTTTTTTTCCTCCCAAGATTGTTTTGGCTACTAAGTGCCTTGAATTTCTGTGTGGACATTAGGATCAGCTTATCAATTTCTGCAAAAAGGCAGCTGGAATTTTAATAGGGATTGCATGGAATCTGTGGATCAGTTGGGAAGCATTGCTATCTTGCCACTATTGTCTTCCAATTCATAATATTGTAGTTTTAAAGGAGAAATTATTTTATAGAATCCTAATTTCAGAGCAGGAAAAGTCCATGAAATTTAATACAGTCATTTTATTATAACACATGGCTATTTACTATAAAATATTTTTCTAAATCTTAAAGTAAGTTTATGTGGAAGCCTTTTCATTATATTGAGCTATTTTATGTTTTTAGTTTCTGAGCAGTACATGAAATGAACTGGATGATAAATTGAGAAGAATACATGGTAGAACGAAAATATTCTTATAACAATGTTTTTTTAAATTAAGTTACAGTAGTGTAACTTCTTAATTTTTGATATTTATGTTGACTATGTGTAACGGATATTATTACATTCTCAGTGGATTACCATTTATTCCATATCTGGATAATTTGCCAAACTTCAATAGATCAGTTGATGGACCAATCAGGCTGCCTATTGTGGATAAGTACAAGGTAACCAAAATGTTCAAGAAATTGGGTTTTATGGAAGGTGAAGTAATTGTTTTATGTTTTGTTTTAAACTTTGTGAAACATTAATAACAATGTAACAGATGTCTCTTTTTTATCAACTATATATTTAGTGGTATAGGTAGACCCTAATTTAATCAACCAGCTTAGTTTATTTCAACTGTTTCTCTGAGGCAATGATTATTTTTTTAGAGAAACTCAAAAATGTGAAACTGGTGGGCTCAAAGGATTTGCACATTAAAGTTGCTGGATATTGACAAATGGCCTTCCAAAATACTTCACCAACATGTATTCCTCCCAGCGTGTACGAGTGCTGCTTCCACCAGAGCCTCACCAACACTGCATGTTCCTCTTTAAAAAAAAAATAAGCCTCATAATTTTTAGCTAGATTTTTAGCCTGACTTTTTAAGTTTTGCAATATCAATCTGTAAAGTTTTGCCTTCCTCAAATACTTCATTCTTTCATTACCTCCTCATGCAAAATTTCTTGAATAAGTATAGTTTTTCCGATTTTATACATGAGAAAACTAGGCTGAAAGATTGAGAGAATCTGAATTTGAGCAAATCAGATCAGATATAAACTTTTGTGCTGTCTTTTGCACCTTTTCTTTTAAAATCTTAGGCATAACTACTTATTAGAATTATAATTTTACATATGCTTATGATATAAATATTATGGAATATTTGCTACCTATTCTGTGTTTAAGATTAATCCTATGCATTCTACCACTTGAGCTAAAGATTCTCATTGTGAATAAGCTCTACAAGATTTCACGTTGGGTTTTTGTATAATAAAAGTCTGAAACTTGATTTTTTATTTTAAATTAAACAGGATATGGGCACTGTGGTCCTGGGAAAGCTGGAATCAGGATCTATTTGTAAAGGCCAACAGCTTGTAATGATGCCAAACAAGGTAAGAGTAAATAATACTCTTTCTCATTTAGATTTTCTCTTCAAAGTATTAGCAAGGAGCCAGAACTTTTTAAGAGCTTGGGGATTTCCATTAAAAACTTGACATTAATATAATGTAATCCTGGATTTTAACAGTTAAGTATAGCATTTAATACAGAATATATGTGATGGTATAGTTATTCAGTGACAAATGGGGAAAGGTCAGCATTAGCAACACATTAGAGCTAAGATGCCTCAGCAGGAGATTTTTAGCTCCATTCTCTTACAGGAAGTAAGCAGGGACCTGGAGTGGTTAAGTAAGTGACTTGCTTCTGTTACCACACTGGATTAAGTGAGACAGGGCTGAAAACTCAGGTTTAATCATGATATCATTGGCTCTTATTTTATTTATTTATTTTGAGTATGTAGCTATGCTGGGTACTAATGTGTTCAAGTAATGCTCCTAATTTGCTTTGAGAAGAGGATTTGCCTATATCATGAGTGGGTCTTTTCTTAACTCTTTCTATCTTATTGTAATTTCTTCATTATTGGAGAGGGTTTCATTAAAATACCCAGATCCCCACCAATATTTCCTTTGTGTTATTTCTAAGTGCTCCATCAGTGATAATTGCAGCTGACACGCTACCAAGAAACTGTCACAGTTTTCCAGAGAGGGCTTCTCTAACAAGTCAAAGATGTTTAGGTAGGAAGACAGACCTGAATCATCAGAGTCTGCAAACAGAGATTTTGTTAGACTTGAGAGAATCTCTTACCATGCTCATTCCAGGCATAGTGAATTAAAAAAAGGTATCCATTGTCAATGTAATGCTTAGGTGTAATTAGCAACTTGCAGATTATACTTTTTAGGTTTCTTGGTGCCTTATACATTGGAGGATGGAGTCTCCTATCATAGTCTCTTACTTTCTAAGGCAATTATCCCTGCTACTTGAAGGTCAGTGACAACTGAAGGAAAATAACAGTCAGGTAAAATCCTTGCTCAGTTTTTTCTGTAGAGCAGTCACAGAAGTAGAGTTTGCTCATGGAGATAGAAGGTGGACTGGTGGTTGCCAGGGGCTGGGGGAGGAAGAATGGGAAGGAACTACTTAATGAACATAGGGTTGTGGGGTGGTGATGTTTGGGAGCTAGGTACCAGGTATAGTTGTACAACATTATGAATGGAATAGATGCCGCTGAAGTGTACAATGTAAAAGGGATTTAAAAAGTAAATTTTTTTGAGTATATACTACAACAGAATGAAACGTACAATTCACTGTGTGCTTGTATCCTTAGTGCCAGGCTGTTGCTGTAGGTGAGGGGCCTTAATATGTGAGTTACAGATTCTCTGTAGAAGTAATCCCTTATGCTAATTACTGGGCAGGTCCATGTAACATATCCCAGAGTTGCTAGGCAGACCTTAAAAACTCACTGCATTTTAGTCATCTTGACGCCCACTGGAAAAAAAGTTAAATATTTTAAAAGACACAGATGCCAGACTATTTTATATTAAAAACAGCTAATGGGTAGGCAACCTATGGAATGGCAAAATACAATTACATACCATAAATCTGATAAGAGGTTAATAACCAAAATACATAAAAAATTCCTGCAACTCAAAAACAAAACAAAAAAATAACCTGACTGGAAAATGAGCAAAGGGCTTGATTTCTCCAAAGAGGTTTGGCCAATAAGCACAAGAAAATGCGTTCAGTATCACTGGTCATTGGGGAAATGCAGACCAGGAGCACAGGAAGGCACCACCTCACAGCCATCAGGAGAGCTATGACCAAAAAACAGAAAATAACAAATGTTGTCAAGGATGTGGAGAAATTGGAACACTGTGCACTCTCAGTGGGAATGTAAAATTGTGCAGCTGCTAAGGAATATGTAATGGTATTTCCTCAAACAAAGAATAAAATCCTAAAATCCAGCATTTCCACTTCTGCATATATACCCAAAATCATTGAATACCGAGCTTCAGGAACCTTTGTTCACAGCAGCAGCATTCGCAGTAGCTAAGACATGGAAGCAACCTGTCATGTCCACTGATGGATGAGTGGATGAACAAAATGTGGTGTACATATAACAGTGGGATTATTTGGCGTAAAGGGGAGAGAAATTCTGATACACTACAACAAGGACGAACCTTGAAGGCATTATGCTAAGTCAAATAAGCTAGTCACAAAAAGATAAATAGCGTATGTTTCAACTTCTATAAGGTACTTAGAGCAGGCAAAATCCTTAATACCTTTCATAAACTAAGAGAATTTGCTGGTCTCAATCTTAATTTTTTTGTGACTGGATTAATTTACAGATTAGACTAGCTGTATTGTGTTTAGCTATAAATACCGTATTTGTGGAGAGGGATTGTTACACTGGATTATTTGGGCAAAAACTAGTAAACAAGTAAACTTGTTAAGTAGATGGTGGAACTGCTAGTTTCTACCCTTTTATCCTGTTACTGTAAAGAATTTAGCTAACAAACATGGTTGTATTTCAGTACTAGGAATGAATTTCTAAAGTTAGGTATACATAATGTATAAACTGTCTTTGGGAAAGAAAAAAATTATGTAGGGACAGAGGAAAAATGCTACTACAGCTTAGCAAGTGACTAGAATTCTGGAGTGGAGTGTCATTCTGGATTCTCCATTGTTTATCTACCATCATGAGATAGTTTATTTCCTCTTAAGGGTGGTATTTTCTGGTTTGTGTTTCACAAATATGAATTATGTCCAAGGGCAGAAATGGAGTAAAAATACGGAAATAATTGTGGGTATTGATGTTAACATTTTTTTCTCATTTGTATGTTCTTTTCTTAAAAATTACTGCGGTAAAAGACAGGTAAATTTTACCATTAGTGCCATTTAGTACATTCATAGGATTGTGCTGCCATCACTCGTCTCCGGCTCTGGGACATTTTCATCCCCCCAACAGCAACCCCTGTGCCTGTGAAACAGCTGATGCTCTTAAAGCTTAGTTGTTCAGATAGCTTTTGAGAAGTGTAGTCTTCACATATTTGGTGGTTGATAGGTAATGAAGGTTTGTCTGTGAAAGCCTAGAATTTAATAATCATAAAAATTAGGCCCATAAAATTAAAGTCCAAATGTTAGATTTAATGTTTTGATTTTGAAAAAGTAAAAAAGGCAAATGCTAGTTTATACTGTTCCTATTTGGAGATTATTAGGATGTGATATTAAAAAGATGACAAACTAATATTTTAATTGGCAGTTCTTCTGGGGCATGATTTTTGTTAAGTTCACATCATATAAATGTAATAAACTTTTGATTTTAGAGAAGTATTTTGGCTAATCAACAATCACAGAAAAATGTGCCTTGCAAGTCTTCCCTTGGCTAATTTTAATCTGTACCCTTTTTCTGTGGTAAACTATAACCACGGGTGTCAGACCTTGAGCAGTCAGATCATTCTGCATTCTGCCGTGAATGCGTCAGAAAGCCTCTAATTCTGTTTGATTTGTTTTTAAGCATAACGTGGAAGTTCTTGGAATCCTTTCTGATGATGTAGAAACTGATTCTGTAGCCCCAGGTGAAAACCTCAAAATCAGACTGAAAGGAATTGAAGAGGAGGAGATTCTTCCAGGATTCATACTTTGTGATCCTAATAATCTTTGTCATTCTGGACGCACATTTGATGCCCAGGTACGCAGTTATTGTAGCTGTCCTAGTGGTCTTCACTGTCTTTGTGAAATTAGAACTTAAATGCCCTTTGTCCTGATAAAATTGGTGACATGCCATGTGTGTAGAAGGGGAACTGAAATATAATAAATCATAAATATATTACAACAGCCATGATGTAGATCTCACACACATGAGGTCTTCAAGATGGCACAAGTTCTAAGTTCCTTTTTATTTCTGATCTCCTGTTGATAAAGTACATTATTACTTATGTTTTGCCCAAAGTAGCTTTCAATTTGAGTAGAGCACACCTTGGAAATCATAATTTACCTGGCTGTTCAGAGCAGTTGAAAGTATCCAGACAGGAAATCACCCAACAATTTCTCCATGTTAATAGCACCCTGTCCTCCCCAGGAGAATGACTAAATGATGTACCTTATAGGAAGTTTGAGTTGTGTTGCAAGTATGACTAATCAGGTTAGATTCTGGTGCCAGATACAAGGTTTTTACTGGACTTTGATATTGAGAATTTGAATATATGATCATTTCACATCTAAGTAGAAAAAAAAAAGCATGTGAATAGCAGTGATTGACTTCATGTCAGGGGGCCGGGTGAGCGAGTGGATGGATAGAAGAGAGGGTTCCCAGAGGAAAGTTGGCCAATGTTTTTTTTTTTTAAATTAAAGTATCATTGATATACAGTCTTGTGAAGGTTTCAGATGAACAACATTGTGGTTTCAACATTCACTGATACTATCTAGTACTCACTCCCCCCCATTGCAGTAACTGTCCATCAGTGTGTAGTGAGATGCTGTAGGGTCAGTACTTGTCTTCTCCGTGCTGTTCTGCCTTCCCCGTGACCTAACTATATTGTGAGTGCTAATTATAGGCCCCTTGATCCCCTTCTCCCTCCCTCCCCTTCCACGCTCCCCAAACCCTTCCTTTGGTAACTGCTAGTGCCTTCTTGGAGTCTGTGAGTCTGGCCTGCTATGTTTTTAAAGCTTGACTGGGCACTAGTCAGTAGGGTGAGGATATCAGAGCTTATGCTTGATCAGGCAACCTGATCCTTCCTTTCTAGCACAAACATAACTTAGGTTGGTGTCCTGAGATGGTGAGTAACACATTCTTGTGGTACCATATGGCACTTTAGAACATTGCTTTTTTACCCCAGGGATAAAATGTGATCTGTTTGTTTGTTTGACAGATAGTGATTATAGAGCACAAATCCATTATCTGCCCAGGTTATAATGCGGTGCTGCACATTCATACCTGTATTGAGGAAGTCGAAATAACAGTGAGTTTTAAGATAATTGAGGTTTTTGTGTGTTTAAGACCTTTTCATCTTGGTAATCTCTGATCAGCAGGTGTGATGTACTCTTATTTGCACCTGTTCTTATTTTAAAAATTCTTTAATTTGGCATTATTTTGATATCCTTTTTTTTCTTGGATAGGCCTTAATCTGTTTGGTAGACAAAAAATCAGGAGAAAAAAGTAAGACTCGACCTCGTTTTGTGAAACAAGATCAAGTGTGCATTGCTCGCTTACGGACAGCAGGAACCATCTGCCTTGAGACCTTTAAAGACTTCCCTCAGATGGGCCGTTTTACCTTAAGAGATGAGGGTAAGCCTTTAAATTGACGTCTGGTCGTGTATCTGAGATGCATAGCCTTGGAAACCTTTATGCAAGCACACTACAAGTTTATAGAAAACTTCAGTCATAGAATGTTTGAGTTGAATGAATTGAACAGCTGACAGAATTGACTGAATTTTAGCAGTAATGCTCTAGTGCATTACTTAATGCATGTTAAGCGAAGAATCTTAATTTTTATATTTTGCAAGTAGTGGGTCTTGAGTCATTTTGTTTACTAAAGATACTTCTATGGTGAAATCCTTTGTATTATGTGTGATTAAAGTCCCTCTTGAAGGGCTTAAACCTGTAGGCCAAGTTTTTGCTACACAAGCCTCTGAGGGTAAGCATCTTATCATTTTTGTGGTCAGAAAATTGTTTTAAATATGATCAACATTCACTATCCTTACATTGTGGCAGTGGGTAAAAGGGATACATAGGTTGATGGTCTTTGAACACTTAATTTTCTCAGAGGTTTGACATTCATATTCTTTTCTGTGTCCATTTTTGCCTACCTCTGAGTGAATCTGAACAGCTGTATTTTCCTATTTGCAGCTTTGAAATTCTTTGATATCATGAAAACAAATGACTGATTTCCATGGATTGTTAATATCTGTAACTTAGGTAACTATTTTAAGACTGTAGAAAACTTCACATAAAAATTTTATGGTTCAGTTGAAATACAGAATAGTCAGTCACGTGATCCAATTCCAATCAGCAAAAACTGTATCGTACACCTGCTGCATGTCAGGACCTGTGCTCAGCACTGGGAACGTAACGGTGAATATGGTCCCCAAACCTCACTTCAGAGAAAATCTGTGTAAAGACAGTAATTTATTTTACTTTGAAATCCTTAAAACTCTTCTTAGTGATAGTGAAACTGGTTTTTGGGTGTGTCCTACCAATATAACAAAATGAGAATTTTAGTTGCCAGTTATAATCTGATAAAATCAGGCAGACAGAAAAAATTTTAATAAGAATTTTTAACCCTGAATTATTTTTTTCCTAAAGAATAGCTTGGCTTTTAGATTTTTCGCATGACCTAATGTGTTTTATAGCTCTTAAAGTAAGATTGAGAGCCTTTTTTAACAGTTTTATTGAGGTAATTTGAAATTTGACCTGTTATAAGTGTATAATTCAATGAATTTCAGTATGTTTACAGTGTACAGTCGTCACCCCATTGTAACTTTAGGGCACTTAGAACATCTAAAAAGAAACCGTATGCATGTTTACAATCACTCCCTATTCCTGCCCCTAGCCCTGGGCAACCACAGATCTACTTTTTCTCTTTGCCTTTTTTGGACATGGCATATAAACAGAATCCCACAATTTGTGGTCTTTAGTATTTAATTTATTTCACTCAGCATTTTTTTGAGGTTCAACCATGTTGTACATGTATTATATATATGCATTCCTTTTTATTGACAAACAGTATTCCAGTGCATGGATATTCCACATTTTACTTGCCCAAGCATAGGTTTTTGATGCAGGATATCATATCTTTTCAGTGCCCCATCCACTCACCCACTTACCTAAACTGTCTAGTCAGAAATCATGCCTTTGGTGGTAAAGCCAGTTAATTAGTAAATTATGTTAAGAAAAATATTTTTATGATTTAAAAAATAAGCTTTAATACCTTACTTTAGTCTTGTTGTTAACTACTGAAAAGGTTTTGTTTTGCTTTGAAATCTCATTTCTAGGTAAGACCATTGCAATTGGAAAAGTTCTGAAACTGGTTCCAGAGAAAGACTAAGCATTTTCTTGATGACCCTGCCCAATACTGTGAGGAAATTGACTGCAAAAGCTACTTCACATCGCCTTCTCTTATTTTCTGCCCACTGACAAACCTCTCCCCATATTTTGCAAAGACAAAATTCACAGCAAAAGTCCACATTATGTCAGCTTTCTCATATTGAGAGCTCTGCTATGCCACTGTTGAGTTTTCCCAAGATTTTTTCTTCCCCTCTCAAACTCTGCTTCCAGACAGATTTGGCAATAGCTTTGTAAGTGATGTGGACATAATTGCCTACAATAATGAAAATTCACAGAAATTTTTTATTTTTCATTTTCCCCTTAAGCATACTCAGCCTTTTTCTCCCCCAGGCAGATCATTCTGAGTGCGCAAGTGTTTGTGCACATGTTACAAAGACAACTACCACGTTAATAAAATAATCAATTTGAAATCCTTTTCGGTATTTCCTTTTGAATAATATTTTTAAACTGGATGTAACATTGTTGCATTAGCTTTTTAACTTTACCAAGTAATTGAATACATTTTATTACTTGGACTTTTCTAGAACTCTTTCCCTACCCACTACTTTAAAAGGAGGTATGTACAATGTTCAAGTTTGTATTAAAGGAAAGAATTAGTTTGACCCCTTCTTTTGATGGTTAATGCATCCATACAGTTAAATACCTTTATGTAGTTGTGACACTGCTGTATTGGGTCTGCCAGTTATTTTCTGCCAATTTATATTTTGACATGATTTCTTAAACGCAGTAAGTTCCAAAATAAACAGCATACTATAGTTTTTATAAGTAAAGCATAACAAAATTGTACCCTTACAGAAAACTCCATCAACTTGTTAATTTAGTGGCATTCACAATAAAGAAAGCATGTTGAGACCTGGCAAAAATGCCTCATTTAATATTTATAAGAGCTGCATGCCTCTACTATAAAAACCGTACCAATTGCAAGTGCCAGTTTTACAATTACTTAGTTTACTATTTTATCAGTAATTGTAAAAATTGAATGATCCTTTCTGGTAAAAGCTTAATCTCATCCAGCAACTAAATGAACACATTTTTAGAATCATCAGAATCTGCACAAACAGAGATACCTAGAATCAAGCACAGTGTAAGTTTTTCTCAATTATCTGAAATTGACTGTTTTCTTAAATATAAAGCTGAAATTTGCTAAACTATGATTTGGATCACCCACAATGGAGTGTTGCAGTGGTTTTTATATTGAAGGCTAACTTTCTGCTCTAACTATCATGACTTTGAAATTTTTAAATAAGAATAAATGGGAAATGAAAGAGACAATTTCTGGGTTTATTGCAAGTCCCCTTGAATTTGAGTGTTGCCATTTTATTAAAGACTTAGCCTCTTTCAGATGGTAGTTTATCTCTAAATAAGATAATTTGTAATTGTATATTTAATTACACATCCCTTCCCTGTAATCTTCCTCCTCAGAAAAGGAAAGCCTAGTTCGACTGTATTTCCAGTCACAACACATAAAATTTAATCCAATTCTGTTTTCATAACTATAGAATTACTATTCATTTCACAAATGAAGCTGCATCTCATGGACAGAGCAAAGTTATTGTCCTGCAACTTCCTATAACTATACTTATGCTATTGAATTGCATGAAATTTAAATAAATTTTATTTATGCCTGCAAATCTTTGGGCTTTAATTTTTCTGGGAAATAATGAGAGCTTTAATGAGTATATAATAAACTCTTTTTGTACTTCCAAGTTAATAAGATACTAGCAATTGCTTGGATTTTAATGAATCTTTAGAAGGAAGCTCAAGAGACCTTGAAATTATTTCAAATGATAGATTTCCATTTTTAAATTGAGCTTGCTTTTAAAAAGCAGTAGGTTTGCTATTAAAACATTTACACTTCTAGAATACTATGTGCATGTTGCCAAGACTTTTAACAACATGGGTATCAACTGTGAATGGCCCTGGCCTACCTCTAAAAAAAATAAGAAATATAACTTTCATTATGAAATAAAACATTTCATTTGGATTTTTGCACATTTGTGCATATAATTGGGTTATTTAGAAGAAACTTCATTTCTAAAGCGACACCACGTTTTATGGGCCTTGAAATTCTTTGGGAAGTATTCTCACTTAAAGTTGATGCATTTTTAAACTCCTAGTTACACTGGCTAGTTTTCTGAAGGAGGAAATAAAATGTCTGGAGTGAACTGGAGGAATAAAATGTCTGGCAGTGTGTGATGTTGGACCTTTAAAAAGCAATACAGTCTCCTAGGTTGTCATTTTGTCTTCTGCAAGTGCAAGAATGTTTATATGTTAACAGTACAAAAAATAGGGTAAGTGGCTGCGGATTTAGGATATTACAGACTATAAACATGCTTTCTCTATAGCATAGATACATTAGAAACAATTTTTCTTTTATCTTTTTAATGTTTATATAACTTTCATGCTAGATTATTTAATTATAGCTCTTTAACTGAATTAAAGAGAAGATACTGAATTAAACATCTTAGTAATTGCCTTCTTAAATCCTTATTTCTTACTGTGGGAAAGGGGGAGATAATTGTATCTGTTTCTTGTTTTTAATTTGCAAAAGGACTTTACCAGTGAAAATCTATGTCGAATTCAAACCAAGAGTTGGACTAAGTATGTATTGCCATGAAATTAAATGACAAATAGTAAAGTGTTGTTGAATCACTAAGCCCATGTATATTTCTTTGTTTTGAAAATCTTGAAAAATGTGGTAACTGAATGTAAAGAGTTTGTAAATTGTAAAAGAGTGCAGGTTGTTCATTGTAATAAGATCATTCATACTTGCCTGCTAGTTACATAAACTACAAGAACTGCTCTTAGGATGTGGGGTGGACTTGGAACACCATGCATCAGAACAGTTTCCAGCACGCTCTCAGCTGAAGCGCTGCAGACGTGGTGGGTCATACTTTCAGTCAGATGTAGTCTTGCAGTCCAAGAAAATGGATCCATACTCAAAAACTGCTTCCATGATAAACTTCTGAAAAAAATCAGCTGAACTCCCCGGCAATCTTCAAGAGCACTAGTTACGACTCTCAATTACTCTGTGCTCTTTGCTGACTGTTCCACGTGACAGCACTCTAGCACCTTTCCTCACTGGCATGGACCTCCTCATGGGCTGCTGTTTCATGGATGACAGACACCTCCATTGCTTTAGGTAGGAATGTGAGGTGATTGAGGGACAAATAAACAGTTTTTATTACAGCTCTTAACATCAGGCAACTTCAAACCTTTAAAAAACCCTTTGTGAAAATTTCTGTCACAACACTAGAGCTCTGATTTAAGTTTAGGATTAAATGTTATGTTCAGTGTTGGCTTACCTTACCAGGATAAACTGTGCCATTAATCCTCTCACAGACATTGGTAAGGTAGATAGCATTCAAGAGAATTTAGGGAATGATTTTGTCTCCAAATAATATGGCTTATATTTGTTCCAGCTAATTTTTCAGTGAATCTAGCAGATGTCATCTAATGCATTCATGACCTTGTCTCTTTAGCAAACTTGCCATGGCAGCAACTTATTAAGTCAATAAATGTAACTACACATGCACAACTCAGAAGACTTACTAGGTTTAAGTTTAGGCAGTCAGCTGGTTATATTCAATTTCATAGTAATCGGAATAGGAGGTGTATTTATTTTCCTGTGGTAGTTGAGTGGATTCCAACTGAACCAATTTACTGCCAGAATTCACATAGGGTAGATTTGGTTCAATTTGTGATGGTTTTGGCTCTAGGATACTAATTTTTAGTATCCTAGGACATACTGAGTCTTCCCTTCAATAAGTACACTGTTCACATACCTCTAATCCTATGCTTCCTTGAAAATAATATGCTAGTCAAGTTGTTCACTAAGGAATGTTAAAGGGCCTGGAGGTGTGGGAGTGGGAATTACAATTTCTGTGTTCTTGAATATATGGAAAAAGCAGACAGGCATTGTGTCTGATGAGGCAGAAAATGAGGACGTAGGCAACCCTCGGAATGGTAATTGTCTTCCCTGCCTTGCCACACATGCCACTGTGCCCTTGAAACGGAACCTCAGGTTTATGGACAGAAAGGTAGAGTGACATTTTGTGCTTCCTGAGGTTCTCCTCTGCCAGGCATATTGGCTTGGTGCTTCAGCTATCAGCCCAAGTCCCTGCTACCGCCTTTCCTGCTGCCTGGGAAGAACTGTGCTAGAGCTCCTGCACCCCTCAGGTGACCAGCCACGTGCAACAGGTGACAAGTGAAGTCTGAACCTGAAGGTCTGTGTTCTGGAGACTTGTTGGGCTCTCAGAAATTGACTCACGTCTTGGCTAATGTTTCTTCTGTTCGAAACGAAATGTGGATCTCTCTCAGGCCAGGACTTCATGACTAGCTTTCACTAGACAGCATAGGTTAAATTCCCAGCTCTCTTTTTTAAAAAAGGGAACTGATGAGGTTTGCTGGTTTTTTTTAACCTAATTCCAAAGCATGGCAAAATTCTCTAGGTAGGAATCACAAGAATCCAAGCTAAAGCCACCTTTTAGGATTTGTAGCTACCTACTTTTCTGTGCCTGACTTGGTGCCTGTGGGAGGATTAAGCCCTTAGTCTGCTCTTGTAATTACTCAAATGACTGAAGTTAAAAAAAATTGCTTTTGTAATAATAAAAACTGTCATCTTTCCTTTTGAAGGATTTGTCTGTCTGTTTATAGTCACCTGTATTGTATCATACCCTGGGTATATCTGTACATTTTTTTGTACAATTCTTTGTTTTTGGAACCATCTACCATATTTGTTGGGTGGATCTAAAAAGCTCTGTCACATAAGTTTACAAACGTGGCCTGCTTGCATATGGTATGCAAGGCCTTTGGTGTACATGACTGATTTCAACAAAACAGCAGCCCTAAAGTAAGTTAAATGCCTAATAATAACGCTATCAGTGTGGTTTTATGTGAACAGAGTTGGGGAAACGATTCTGTCAGAAGCATGAATCTCTCAAGATTTTTAATAATAAAATAGTACTTGCCTGTGCAAGAGCAAGAAGACATTAACAGTAAATGCAGCACACACTGGTCAGCGGAACAGCAGCAAGGCATTCCTGTATACTCAGTATGTTCTGTGTGTTGGAATGAGTTCTTGCCGAAGCTGCCTGTAGGTGGAAGGAGTCATTTCTAGGCTTTGGCAATCCATCTCTAGTTGTTTGGCATCGAATGAGTCTTAGCGTAAATAGAACTTGTGTGCAAGCTTACTACCAAAGTAGGGGTTCAAATTAGGGAAGTTATAAATAAATGGCTTGTTACACTTCCCAGGAATCAGCCACACTTTGCTACTCTTAAATGACCAGGTCTCCCACGCTGCCCATCCAACACTGTGTTCTAAGCGTGCTTGGGGGTCAAACTGCACAGAGGCACTGAACCGCGGTGGACAGGAGACAACAGGATTCTACTCTTTGTGGTCCATGGAGCCAGTTTCAGAGACACAAGTTCTACCAACTTGGAGCAGGAAAATACCTTGGACACTGTGGCTTTGTGGTAAAGAACTATATTCTCCCAATCTAGAATAAATGATGGCCCAATTACAATAAAAAACAATTTTACAGTTTTCCAAATTTAAGAGGACCTTTAAAAAATCTCTCTGGCCATATGAAAAATGAGATTCTGGAAAATATTTTTATTTAGTGAGAAGATTATCTATTTTAAGCTTTTATGGCCATTTAGTTGTTAAGTATTTGAAAACTGATGCACTATCGTGTCATCTTTTTTGTTTCCGTATATTTGTCCTCTAAATTCAACATGTTGGCCCTAAAAGGGAAATTTTTCTTAAGTGAATGTCCTTCCTTTAAATTCTTTGAGTACACTGGGTGCCCAAATGACTTACATAAAATATTTTCCTGTTTTCTAGAAGAGATTACCTAACACAAGGAAATGAAAATTTTCCTGTTTTCTAGAAGTAAGAGATTACCTAACACAGGGAAACGAAAATCCTATAGCTGACAAGTGTACTTTTTCTTACTCAATTCCTATTATTTGTGACAGGCGCATTCTATTAAAATTTAGACAAGAATTTTCCCTCAGGGTGCAGTGGGTCACATTTAATGTTAATTGCACATTTGTTTAACCCATCCCATTGCTGGTATTTGATCTCTTAAATGTTTCATTTCAATGGAAATGATCATGCCAAAATTCATAAAGAATAAGCAGTAAAAGTAGTTCAAATTTATTTATATAAGCTTAATTTGCACATTTAAGGCATTTTCACCAAAAAAGCCCTATTCACTGGTTTGAGTTTAGTAAAGAGGCCACTGATAAGCTAAAGACTACTGGTAAAGCAGGTTAGCTAGAGAGAGCATAATGAAGAAAATCATGTATTTAACTCGTGTATCTTATACAGTGTGATTACATATAGGTGGAGATTTATTGTGGGGATCCCACCCCTTAATAGAGAGTACTGTACTCCTCAAGGACTTTGTGTTTGCTTATAAACTACCCAAGTTACTCAGAACATAAGACATCCCCATCACCACCTATGTTACTTCCCCAGCAAATACACTGAAGTTTTAGGATAAGAAAGAAATTTTGACAGGATTAGATTCTTAGTAGGAATTCTTTTTGTAAAGAAGTCCAGCAAACAGAACTTGTGTATAAATCAGATATTTTTTTTATTAAGGTAAAATGTGCATACAGTGAAATACACAGATCTTAAGTTTCCAATGAGTTTGCCAACTGCATACAATTATGTACATACCCTCATCAATATATAGAACATTTCCATACCCCAGAAAGCACCTCTCTGCCCCTCTCCAATCCATCCCTTCCTCCTACCAAGTCTAGTTTTGCAGTAGACATTTTGCCTGTTTTTTTTTAACTCCACATAATGGAATCTTATCGTGCATTCTTCTTTCAAGCAACATGTTTTAGCAATCAGTGTTGTTTCTATCAGCCATTCTCTTTACTACCAAGTAATGTTCTATTTTACAGATATCCCACACTTTTTTTATCCCTCTTTGAAGGGAAATTTAATTTTGTTTTCCCAACAGGACTTTTATCATGTTGGTTGCAAATACAAACAACCTTCTTTGAATTATCATTAGAAATGCAAATAAATACACCAGAAAGAAAATTTTCATCTCTTTTCCCTTTATCTACTTTTATAATGCTATTACCAAACAGAAACAGGCCATTCAGTACTCCCAAAGGTGGTGAAATACATGACCTCCCTTCTAATCTCCAATAATGCTGAATATTTTCTTCACTGCATTCCCTTTGATGTGCCCTGCCAATTCTAAGACTGACTTGCACCTCTACTCAATTAACTCTTTGAAACCTCAGGGCTGAGCCGTTTTTTTCTTTTTTGATAAATTTATTTTACTACATTATGTGTATGAATAACTTTTAAAAGTTATTTCATTGACCCTTTATTGATGACCTAGCATAATACTTCAGTAGCTATTGAAAACCTTCCTAATTTGAGTAAAGATGCACCATGAACTGAGAACATTCACCAGTTATATATTAGTATTGGTTAAAAGAATAAAGTCTTCCAAGAAGTTGTCAGTTGGGTATATTAAATGATAAAGAGATTAATGGCACAGGTAACCTGTTTTTTTAAAGTCTAGAAATCACTTTTACGAATGCCCTTAGTACAACATTCCTTAGGGAAATTTAATTCCTGTAAAGTGAGGTGGGCTGGGTTAAAAAGTTGTCTCCCTGAATATAAGTCGGGGTCTGTACACTGTGAGTCTGAGCAACATCATGTGCTTGTGGTACCTACACACAGAGGGAAAGAGCAACAGCAAGCAGGCTGATAGGTTCTCTACTGAAAACCACCTTTTCATTTATTCTCTCCTCTCTGGTGATCTCATTGTTCTCTTGCTTCTCTTCTGCAGGGCCCTCCCCAAATTTTTTTAAAAAATCAGAATCTATTAATTTCTTCACTAATCAAACATTTCTTCACTGCTTGAATGCAAGTGCATACCGCCTTCCTTCTTTTGGCTCCTAAGATGCACATTTCATTTTCTGATCCACTTCCTGATCACATTATTTTCAGCAAGAGGCAAGCCTTGTGCTATTCTGTTTGTGCCAAGCACTATGTAGACAGATGTGTGTGTATACACACACACACACACACACACACACACACATATGTTAATTCACTAAGTTCTCTTAACAATTCATGTGAGGAACTAGCTTCATTCTACAAATAAAGAAATCGAGGTTTGGCAAATGCTAACTTGTCCAAAGCTAAATAATTAGTAAATCATGGAGTTGGGATTGAGACTCAGAACTTTCTGACCATGTTCTTCCTATCTTCCTTTAAAATGTCACATTATATATAAGCAATATTGTTTCCATTACAGTGGCTATTGAATTCCATTCCATGATGTCTAGATTAATATCCCATAGCCGATTTAGTGGGTTAAAATAACAAACATTTATTATCTCAGTTTTTGTGGGTCAGGAATCTGGAAGAAGCATAGCTAGGGTCTCTAAGAGTTTGCAGTCATCTCAAGATTTGATTGGGGATGGGTCCACTTGCAAGCTCACTCATATGGTTGCTGCTAGGCCGCCTGAGAGGCCTCAGGACATAGTAGCTGGCTTCACCCAGGCCAAGTTGGACAAAGGAAAGCAGGAGGATGGAAGGGAAGTGGAAACTACAGTGTTTTTATAACCTAATCTCAGAAGTGACATCCCATCACTGCTGCTGTATTTTATTTGATAGAAGCAAGTCACTATGTTAAGCCCACACTCAAGGAAAAGGAAATAAAGCTCCATCACTAAGTAACAGAATTTGTGGGCATAGGACATTGTTCAAACCACCACAATCCCACAGCCAGATTGTGAACTTTCCTAAAGCAGAATTCATTGCTACCTCTTCTTCGTCCAAACCATCAGTTCAAAAACCTTCTATCTGTACGATTTCTCCAAAATACAAACTCTCATTGTGGTAATGAGTTAATTCCTCAACATGCCACTCTAGCCTCATCTCCCATTCCTCCCCTCTGCACACCCCTGGCTCCAGCCACTTACTACTTCAACAGAACCATGCTCTTTCACCTGAATTCATGCCCTTCCCTAGCCCTAGAAGCCTGGTTCTCAAACTTGAATTCACAGCAAAGGTGACACAACATCTGATAACCCTAATGCTCTTTGCAGAACACAAGACATCTTATTTATCCACAAAGGCTAATATAGCAGTTCATAATCATGTGCTAAAACTAATTTCATCTTATACTAGATTGTAGAAGAGAAAATTGGGAATAGGTGCCAAAGACTTTAGTAACATTTCTTCTATAAGCTAATTAAAGACAAAGACATTATTAGAGATCAGCTGAACACCCCTTCATTCAGCTCTGACAACATGAAAGGAGCATTTTTGGAAAAACAGCTAATATGGAAAGCCTCCTATTCCCACTCTTTCAGCCCTCAAAAATTTCCATAACTAGTTGCAAAAAGACTAGAACCATTCTGAATGTCCACTACAAAGCTCCTAAATAAACTATTGTTTATCTGCCTGATGAAAGGCCAGTCTGCTGTTTAAAGACATGAGGCAGCGCATTATGCATTGACTTGGACAGCCTCCAACATATGAGGAAAAAGCAGCATGTTCACAACAATGGGTATACTAGGCTACTGTGTTTAAAAAAAGAATATGACAAGATTAAACTTAAACCCCACCATCCATAAATAGAAAAAAGTGTAAGTATTTCCTGAACATGCCTAGAACATCCCTGGAAGGTTCCAGGAGAAAAAGGTAACAGATCCCCTCTGGGATGTGGGGAGGAAGGCTTTCTACCCCTTTCCGGCCTGCACGCTTCTGTGTAGGTATATGCCCTTACCTCCCGCCTCCCTGAGACCCCGAAGCTCACGAAAGACTGGCTCTGGCTCAACATTCAGGACACCACACCGCCAAACAACGTCCCCGCTGTGTCCCGTCATGATTCCAAGGAATCCTCACCAGCCGGTCACCTTCGCGATGAGCCTGTGGCTGGGCAGCGTAGATGGTTCGACCAAAGTCACCCGGCATGCGGGTGGTGGGCCAGGACTCCCCGCTCTCCGCACGCCCCACCGCCGCCTGCCCACAAGCGGGGCCGCAGGAGAGCGGGTGGCCTCACTGAGGGGCGGACAGGCCTCGTCTCCCGCCTCCAGGGGCTTGCTTGAGTTCCTTCGTGGAAGAGTGAAAGCAAGGTGCGGCCAGGTGGCTCCCCGCGCCCCATGACGAGCAGAAGCGAAGGAAACGCTTTGACCCAGGAACCAGACTCAGCCCACAAGCGGAGACACAAGACAGATTTGACCGGGCGCGCCAAACCATCACGCTCAGACGCCGGCGCTCCAGGAAGTGACGCGAGCCTGGTGCCCGCCCCCTGACTTCCGGCTAGGGAAGGACATGGGCTAGCGCGTGCGCACTGAGTTCGCGTGGCTGTGTCCGCACGCGGTGTGAACGAAATGGAGGCCTCAGCTTCGACCCCACCCTCAACCTCAACCTCAGCCTCGACTCCTGAGACCCCGGCAACACAGGAGCAGCTGGACAAAGAGCAGGTGAGTGGCCCCCCTTGGGGTTCGGAAGCGGGGTGGCCGCGGCCTTGTGAGGAGCGAGGCACCAGGTACAGGCCTCACGCCTCCGCGGACGCCCCCCGGGCTTTGGGAGGGTCGCTGTTCCCGCTGCGCTCAGCCTTTCACGCGCGGTGGGCGCCCGCTCTCCGGAGCCCCGCAGCCTGGCTCTCCTGAATTGGATTTCAGGTGTGTCTTGGGGAACCGGGGTGAGCTCCACCTGGCGCTGCTGCCCTACCGTTAGACTTCGGCCAAGTCTCCTAGTTATGTAAACATCCATTACTTCGTATTTCAGTTGGGCTCTGCCGCCCTCCGCTCTCCAGGATCAGAGCGCGAAATGCACGTAAAGCTGTGGCCAGGGGTCTGGCACATAGGAAACGCTCAGTTAATGCAGCCGTAGTGTGTATGGCGCTGTTACTGGGATTACTTCCTTCATCCGGGCAGAGGAAAGAAGCACGTTCCCTTCTGGCCCTGTATGTACGCAGAAGAGGCTGTTTTCCCTCTAGATGAGTAATAAAAGTGTATAGTTGGGTGGTTTCTGATGGATTCTTAACGTTTCTCTGATTACAAATTGCATTGAATCCTTACAGATATGGTTGTGGAGGTTGCCCTTTAACATAGAATTGGAGCAGTAAAAAGGAAAAAAGGTGAGGGCAGGGAGCAAAGGGAAAATTAGACTGAGATTTAATTTGTGTTTCTCCATTTTGCAGATTAAGAAGGCTGTGGAAGCTCTGTTGGCACATTCCAGGTCCAGGAAGAACACGAATGGATTGCTTCTGAATGAGAATGAAAATTTCTTTTTAATGGTGATACTGTGGAAAATTCCAAGTAAAGAACTCAGGGTCAGACTGTAAGTTCTGATTTTCCCCTTGCGCAGTTTTTAGCCGCTTGGTCACCCTGTGTAACTTTGACACAATGGCAACTTAGTTTCTAGTGGAAACACTAAACTCAAAATAAAAATCTGAGTTGAAATAAATTATTGTGCCTAAAAAAAAAAAAGAACCTGAAATAATTCAGACGTGCTTAAATTTGCTAGAAATTTCACCAGTTTCTTGGGGGTTTGGTGAACAGTTAACCTGAGCAGTTCTGTTAAATCCAAAACCTAATGATTTTTTTTCCAGAGAACAAAGGTTACACTAAACAGCTTTTGTATTTTCATAGAATTTGTTATCTTTCCTTGTCAGGCTAATTCCAAGCTAACATTCCTGAGGTCCCAGACTTGCTCCTTTATACAGAGACTCTTGAAAACTTGGCAGTGTAATCCTTTTGGAAAAGAAACTCGTTGAGATTAAACAATCTTACTGCTAAAACTCAGGTCAGAGATGCCCTCTGCAGTATTGGTCAGATTTAGAAAATGAAAATACAAGTAACTTTTTAGTATAAATAGATCCCATATAATATTTGGGACCTGCTTATACTTTTAAAATGATGAAAATTTTACTGCATGTCCTGTATTCTCTCTGATAACCTTGCCTCTCTGAAGTCCTTCATTTCCTGAGTGTCCAAAAGCCATCTCTGCTGAAGAAAGAGTATAGGAGAGCTGGTTTCTTTTCTTTTCCCCGTTGGAGATGGAGGGCACAACAATAAGGACACTCTTGATCCTCAGATTCTCTGTTAACTAATGTTCCCACACCTGCCCCGGCCAGATTGCTTTAGTTACTGCTTTATGTATCACACATGAATTCTTTATTCCACACCTCACTCAGGCAGGTTTTCCCTTTTGGAAAGCCCTCTTATCTTCTCCAGGATGTCTTCCCAAATGCTTACATCTTGGTGATTACTGCCACTTACCAACTTCATGGCACTTCCCATCTTGTTTAGCAAGTCATGTTCCTTACGTGTGTTACTCTTTTTTCTTAACCTAAGGATGTATTTCCTCAGTGCATGTAGATGTAGGAAATGAATTTAACCTAATTTTTCTAAGGTTTAACATAGTGCATGTCCACTGGTCCCAGTTGGTTTGCCCTGCATTTTCTGTTTCAGCTTTTACGAGTTAGGTTGTTTATGGAGCCCAGAGTTTTCTGCAAGGTGATGTTCTGAGCCAGAACTATCCTGATGAAACTCGATTATTCTAGCACTTTATAGTACATGTGCGCCTATAGCGACATATACAATGGTTATAATTAGATGTGCACTATTTGGGTGTCTTTGATTATGTTTTAACTCTAGTTGTATCCCAAGTATGAATTGATATTTTCGTCTGTGAACATTTGTGATGATTTACTTGAACCTTAAATCTCTCTATACCATTGAAGATGGGGTACATTTTCAAATGTTCTCTGTGTTTGCTCAGATAGCATGAATGAAGTTTTTTGAATTGACAGTGAATTTCTTGTGCTTTCTGTGGTATATAAAGGTACCTTCTGTCCTTCATAATGCTTGATTCCTTGGTTCCCCCTCATGTATTTTGATGTATTTTGCAGGTCCTTGCCTCATGGTATTCGAACAGATTTAGCAGATATCTGTTTATTTACCAAGGATGAACCCAATTTAACTCCTGAAAAGACAGAACGTTTTTATAAGAAGCTTTTGAACAAGCATGGGATTAAAACCATTTCTCAGGTAGGGAGCAGGTTAATATTTCCAAGATGATGAAAGATTTGATTTAGTCTTCTCATTGCAGTCGTAAGTAATACATTCCTAGAATGCCTAGCATTCCTCATCTAAGAGTTAATTTTTAATTTAATTTGTTCGTTGTAATTCTCATTGGCTTTAGGTAGGGCATTTTCCATCTTCCCTGTGATTGATGGATGAGCTGTTGGGGTTTGTTGACCTAAAAGCTCAGTGTATAAATACATCGGTAACTTTTACACCTCAAAGTAAAAGGTTTACAAAAGGTTGCTTTTGGATCATTCTTCTGTGCTTCCAGAGCATCCTGTGTTTGCCTCGAACTTGGCGCTTCTCACTCTGTTTCATGATTACTGGCATGTTTTCTTTACCTGGGGTCCCAGCTTTTAGCTTAGTGCCTGACACATTGCAGGCACTCACTACATGTTACTCACTACACCGTGGCTCAAAGACATTTTAAAATCCCAGTACAAATTGTTGCCTGAGTGTTTTTTTCTTCAGGTTCTTGACTTTTTGTGTTTTCACTCTCATTTTTCCTAGATCATCCCATTCCGAACTTTAAAAAAGGAGTATAAAGCCTATGAGGCCAAGCTCCGCCTCTTGGGTAATTTTGATTTATTCCTCACTGATGCGAGAATCAGGCGGCTCCTACCCTCACACCTAGGGAGACATTTCTATAGCAGAAAGAAGTAAGTTTCTCAGCGGTGCTGGACTTCAGCAGCATGAAACGTACCAGTGTACATACAATTTGTGCTCTTGCTTGTGTGTTGTTACAGAGTTCCCGTATCTGTAAACCTTCTGGCCAAGAATTTATCCAAAGAGATCAATGGATGTATAGGTGGAACTGTCTTAAACATCTCTAAAAGTGGTTCTTGCAGGTATGTAGAAGGCATTAATGTGTGTCTGTTTAATCTGAAATTTATTTAATAATGGTTTTTGGAAACTTTTTTTTGTAAGGTAGTGTTAATGAAACCAGATCCTTATATAAAACCAAAGGCATTCCTTGGCAGTAGTCCGTTCTCTAGAACAGTGCTGTTGATAGAACTTTCACCGTGATAAAAATGGCCTGTATGTATGTGGTCTCATACAGGAGTCATAGCCACATGTGGCTGTTGAGCCCTTGAAATGTGGCTGCTGCACTGAGGAACCGAATTTCTAATTGTACATGATTTTAACTAACGAAGAGTTAAATAGGCACCTGTGGCTCGTGGCTAATTTTTACCGTATTGGACAAGGCGCCTCTAGATAGTGGGGAAAGCAAGGAAGGTAAGACTGATGCTTAGAGAACATTAGTGCTGGGATTTCATGTCGCCCGGCACCATGTTACCCTTTGGGGTGACTCTCCGCGTCAGTCTTGCTTTTGCTTTTTCTAAATGAATGAATTCAGTGTCCGTCCTGTCCCGTCAGCCTGTTTGGTGTCTTTCTGTTGTCGCACTGATTTTACCTTAGCCAGGATACTGAGCTGAGTGGAATCCCCATACCTTGCTCTAGATACCAGAAAAGACCTTAGGGTCACGATAGCTTTCCAGCTTACAGGTGGCGAATGCAGAGTTTTTTAATTAGGCTCAGAGGCAGGTTAAGTCTGAGTGCTTGGCAGTTTTAAGAAAGATGGGGGAGTTTTAAACATAGACATAACCGTTTTATCAAATATTTTGTCTACCAACTGGGGCATCTGTGGTGTGGGGCTGGGCAGAGCTGTAGGGTATGGCCCTTCCTCTTAAAGACACCCTAGGAGCTCATGTGCCCTTGTCATCACGCACCCCTTACAATAGGAGCATGATGGCTCCAGGTACAGCAGGGCAGGGTGTGGCTGGGCAAGACGTGGGTTCTGGTGTTGTCTTTGGCCTGCAGGTGGGAAGTCCCTTAATTGGGATAATTAAGCAGCTGAGTAGCTTTGGGCATCAGGCCTGGACCTCCACTCTTTGTTCATAGGCTGACACCAAAGTAGCTGCTAATGGAAGCAGTTACCTAGAAGGGCAGAGGCCTGGCTCATGAGATATGCAAGAAGCTGGTAGAAGGGGGACAGCACAGTGAAGGCAGATAAAGGAATAGCACACTCCTGTCCCTGGGGCTTTTCCAGAGCAAAACCTGCCAGTTAAGGAAAATTATGGACAACTGCTAAAATAGAAACCTAAATCACCCTTTGATGTCCTCCCCACCTTCCCCCAGCACAGTAGTTTCCCATCTTCCTTCATACCCTCCTTCCCTTCTTGCCCTGTCTCCATCCAAGAAGCCAAGGGTGTGCTTGCAGGAAGGTGGCAGCAGGCACATGGACAGAGCCCTTGGAGGGACGTGTGAGCAGCAGCCCCGTCTCAGTCATTCTGCAACACTGGCCAGCAGTGATCTTGCAGGGTGGGGGCCGGCAGGGATGAAGACCCAGAGGCTGAGCAGTGGACACTTCTGGACTTGTGCTTGGCTTATGCCTGCCCTTGTCTTTGACTGAAGGGCTGGCTGGTCTTGCTCCTGGCCAGAAGATGCTGTTACACACAGGACAAGACCCTTTATCTTAGAGCGTGGCAGCCAGGTCAGGGCAGTGTAACTATAAAAATAGCAAGCAACCCTCCTGGGGGTAGTGGCCTTCAGAAGAGCTTGAGGGCTGACTCAGTAACCTGTGTTTCCTGGAGTGAAGAACTCCCTCTGGCCCTGCCCGCTGACTGGCTTGGTGCCCGGTCCCCAGTCACCTCTTGATGGTATGACGTGCTTCTGGAATACGGCATTTCTAGAACATGAGAGATGATGGTCTTCCTTAAAAAACATTGTGAGCCTAAAATATTTTAATGTTTCTACCTTGAAACATTTTTTTTCTCAGATTTTGTGTTTATATTTCTTACTTAACCTGTCTGTGCTTTATTTTGAAAAACAAGTTGTTTTTTAAAAGCCTTTTTTATCTAACCCTTTACTACATTTCAGTACCATACGCGTTGGTCACACTGGAATGGAAGTTCAGCACATCGTGGAAAACATTGCTGCTGTTGCGAAAAGGCTCTCACAGAAATTGCCAGAGGTATAGCCCTGCAGGTGCATCAATTGGTGGCTCATTTAAAAGGCACAGAATACGAGTGTTATCCCCTCCTTCTCTTTGTTGCAGAAGTGGGAGAGCGTGAAACTCTTATATGTGAAAACTGACAGGTCAGTTGCCCTTCCCATCTTTTCTTCATTCATCAGCAGCCAGGATGAAGCCAAGGGAGTGCACACCCCTAGTCAGAAGAAGAAAGTGAGTACCATTTTAGGTGCTGGGTGGGCTTGATGACAGGTGTCAGCTGGCTCAGGAAGAACCAGGTTCCTACCCGGCTTGCGAGTCTTCCCGTGTTCCTACAGTCGTGCACTCACGTTCATTGTTAGCACTTGACTGTGAGATCAGTTAATATCAGTGTGAAAAGGGGTACATTCAGATGTAACTGTCTTGTGTTCATTGATAAGTTAGGTGTTTTAAGTTTTGATTTCTCCTTAAAGGGCCATTTAGCCTTAGAAGGGGCCTGCGTGATGGCAAGAGGAGCCGAGAGAAGGGGGAAACCAGAGTTCAGTGTGTTGGGTGCTTTGTCGTCTGTGGGCGACATGTAAGATTGTATTATGCTAACGAGTGGCCCTTGGTTTTGATTTCTGGTTTTCACTGCCACTGGCACTATTGCAGAGGAAGGCAGAAAGAGGTAAAACAGCCTTTGGGGGATTTTTTGCTATTTGTTGGACTGATCTCGTAGTTCATTAGTACTTTCTTCAGCCATTCAATCATGTCCAGTGAGTTTTGTTTTGGTCTTACTATTTTATTTTACTTCTAGGAATACCATGTTTTCTTCTTTTTCAAATTGACCTTAACTTTTTTTTGGCTTCCTGTTACCATAGCCTTCCAGTTGGTCTCAGTTCTTAGAACATATGAAGCATAGCATTTCTACTGTGATCTGATAATTCAAAAGGAAGTCTTGTGTTGCAGCCAGGTTGTCCCTGCCTCCCGGGTCCTGTAGTTGGGTGTCTTTGGGTGGTGGTCATTGCATTTGGGAAATTATTTGTGGAAATTATTCACGGTGTAGGATGAAGGTCTTTTTCGGGAGGGTTTGCTTTTATGTCTGCCCAGGAGTGCCTGAAAGCACATTCAAGGCATGAGCTCCCATCGATGCAGAGCAGATGAAGGTGAGGCTCTGCATGGGTCCATTTCCTGTTAGCTTTCCTCTCAAGGTGTAACTCACCGGGATGCGAGCATGTTGTGCGGAGGAGGGGGGCCCCTCAGAGTCCGTGCCCAGTGTGGATGCTGGGATTTGGGTTCTCTGCCTTCAGACCCCTCCATCCCACACAGCTGTTAAAAGTTAAGGGTCAGTAAATACTCTGAGCAAAAATGGCTTCTGGGCTTACTCACCCTTTTGCATCCTTGTTTTAAATTTCTAACAGGTAATCAGCTCATTGGTGCTTTTATGGAAAAAAAATTAATTTTTCACCCTGCTTTTTTACTTGTTTTCATTGGGAGAATGACCTGAAATAACAGATTGCTGTTATTAGTAGTAGGAAGTCTGATTTGCTGCTTTTCAGCAGATGCGTTTGAGGACTTTGTGAAAATTTGGAATTGCTAGTTAAAACAATTTGGACACTGTAATAGCACTTATTTAACAGTAGTCCGTGGTAAGGATAATGGACCTCTTTTAGTATAAACTTTGTACTGTTTTACCTTTTATCCACAAGACCTAAGGTAGAAAAATGGTCAAGAGTCTTTTTTGGGGGGGAAACAGCTTTATTGAGATATAATTCACGTCACATAATGAGTTTTGTTTTGGTGTTACTATACTGTGCAGTTTAGGATAATTCTTAACTGTAAAGGAGATTGACTTTCACAAAACCTGTGACTGCACACTTCAGATACGGGATACGTAGTTAAACCACACAACAGGCATCTCTGGCCATGAGTCAGAAACAAAGCATCATTGTGGCTCATGTGCTGGTAACAGGGTTTGTTTGCTCAGAGTTGGTGCGGGTCAAGGCCCTTTCAGGGAGCTTGTGAATAGTCAGAACTGCGAGAGCTAAATCCATGCCATGTTCTTACCAACAAAAGTATCTCCTGATGAAATGGTGCTTGGTTTGTTTTCGCAGTTAGCAAAGAAAAAACAAAAGAAAGCAGAATATCATGCAAGACAAAAGGGGAAGAAAAGAAACAAGAGGTTTACGAAAGGAGCGAAGAAGGCTGCTTCACCCCAGACTAAAGACAAGGCGGACCCTGAAACTAGTGGTGCTCCAGCAAAGGGCCCTGGTCCCCAGAAGGAAGAGACCCTGAAGTGCAGGAAGAAAGAGATGAACATGGGGAAAAAAGCCCAGGTGAAAGTGCCAGACTCCGAAGATGAAATTCCCACCCTGGTACCAATAGGAGCTGCTCCAGTGAAGGAAAACGTGGAGGTATTGTTATTAATACTTGTAACAGCTTTATTGAGATATAATTCACGTCACATAATGAGTTTTGTTTTGGTGTTACTATACTGTGCAGTTTAGGATAATTCTTAACTGTAAAGGAGATTGACTTTCACAAAACCTGTGACTGCACACTTCAGATACGGGATACGTAGTTAAACCACACAACAGGCATCTCTGGCCATGAGTCAGAAACAAAGCATCATTGTGGCTCATGTGCTGGTAACAGGGTTTGTTTGCTCAGAGTTGGTGCGGGTCAAGGCCCTTTCAGGGAGCTTGTGAATAGTCAGAACTGCGAGAGCTAAATCCATGCCATGTTCTTACCAACAAAAGTATCTCCTGATGAAATGGTGCTTGGTTTGTTTTCGCAGTTAGCAAAGAAAAAACAAAAGAAAGCAGAATATCATGCAAGACAAAAGGGGAAGAAAAGAAACAAGAGGTTTACGAAAGGAGCGAAGAAGGCTGCTTCACCCCAGACTAAAGACAAGGCGGACCCTGAAACTAGTGGTGCTCCAGCAAAGGGCCCTGGTCCCCAGAAGGAAGAGACCCTGAAGTGCAGGAAGAAAGAGATGAACATGGGGAAAAAAGCCCAGGTGAAAGTGCCAGACTCCGAAGATGAAATTCCCACCCTGGTACCAATAGGAGCTGCTCCAGTGAAGGAAAACGTGGAGGTATTGTTATTAATACTTGGTATTCATAGGGGATTGAGTGGGTGGCCACTGCGTGTCCGGCAGGCACTGCTGAGTGACGAGTGTGAAAGGGTCCTGCGGGCGGGAGGCTTTGTTTATAGAAACCTATTTCAAGTCAAACCTGTTCTGCCAAAGATTTTGAATAGATGAAAAATGCTAAGGTAAACCCAAGAACCCTGGAGGCAGTCACCATACCTGGCTTTACCCTTGTTTTAATACTGGACTGATGTATAGTAAATATAACCTGAATGTACCTTAGAGTCAGAGGCGATGTGATGATATTAGTAATTCTAAGGAACATTGCCTGTTGTTGTAAAAAGCCGGCCAGTGTGGAAATTTAGGCAGTGGTTTCTGAAGGTGAGTGCTGGATCGCCACTTACGCAGCCTCAGAAAACTTACGAGGGCAAACTTGGGTACTGGAGCCCACCCCCAGGGGGTCTTAACAGACATCCGACTTTTGGGTGTCAGGCAGTACCAGTGTCAGGCGCGTGCTGGCGTCCAGTGACAGCCCCAAGGCTATTACTGCACTTTACTTATATTGTCCTAAAAGTAATCCTTAGAATCTTCAATGATATAAATTTTTACCCAACAGTGAGAGTTCCGTTTACAAGGTGCCCCCAAAGTGCTGCTGAGTTTTTAATGTGCTTGAAATTGTTTTTAGAAAAACACGCTGATTTTGTTATAATGAGACTGGACATAATACGTTGGGAATTAAAGAGTGGAAAGTAGCTGACTGGGCGATGTAGAGCAAGAAGTGTTCTTGACCTTTGAACCCATTGGGGAAAGGAGCAGGGTAATTTGCAAAAGTTCCATCATTGCTCACTGGAGAAGCAAAAATGAGATAATGTCACACACCCTTGTAGCAATTTTTCTAAAGGTTTTTGAAGTAATGTTTAGTAAGAGTGTATAGTGCTTAAGAAACATTAATAAAATAATTGGGGATTGGGCATAATACTCAGCTTTTCAATACCTACATACTCAGTTGGGGAAAAGTAGTAAATGAAAGACAGCAACTACTATGTTAGGAGAGTTATTAGGGCGTTTTTATTAATGTATCTTTTGTCTTCCAAATTTTCCACAGTAATCCAGCTGTTTTGTATTTACTCTAACAGTTGTGTTCTGCTGCTTGTCTTTGTCTGTATAACCTGCTTCTGTACTGCACAGAGTCTGTTGCTAGAATTTTGTTGTATCAGTAGCTGCCACCTGGGGTGCCCAGAAAGCCCAGGATTCCTGGCATATAACACACTCCCCTCCAAAGAGCATCTGAATCTAACTTTGGAAATTGGGTCTTTCTCACAGGCACCCCAGTTGGTTTTTACACACGTGGTCTGGGAACTCCCCTCCCTAACCCACATGCAGAGAGTTAACAACTGAGGGAGACAATGAAGTCAGGATTCAGTGACAGACCCCCATGCTGCACTCCCAGAGTCCCTACTGCCAACCGTGGGGGGAAGATGGTTGTCCTTTGATTGGACCAGGGAGCCCGCCAGGGTCCTTTTGGCAGTCATTGCTAATGGAACACAGCTGTGTCTCTCAGTGCCCGCCAGGGAAAGGCCACGCCATGCCTCGTTTGAGCGTGCTGACGTGTGCCCTTGGAGTGGACACTGTCAGGATTTTTTCCCTGGACCTAACTTTCTTCTTTTTCTTAGATACAGAAACAAGCCACAGGAAAGAAGTCTCCAAAAAAGGGTCCTGGTCCCAACACACCTCGTGGGAAGAAGAGGAAGGCCTTCCCAGCTTTGGAGACCCCCAAAGCTGCAGAGCCCAAGACCCCAGGTAAAGGCCCGGGGAAGAAGCCAAGACTCAAAGAAGAGGTGGAGAAAGAAACAAACTCTTTGCTGGGGAAAAAAGACCCAAGACAGACTCCCAAAAAGCCAGAGGCCAAGTTCTTCGCTACTCCTGGTAAATCTGCAAGGAAAGCTACCCTCACACCTAAGCAACGTCCTAAAAAGCCCAGGGTGTCCCAGTCGACCTAACATCAGAGACTCAACCAGAGGGAAGCTGAACTTCCTGGAGCTTTTCAGAATAGTTGGGTCCTGATCCTACTGTAACCTTCTCCAAGACTGAGGCCTGAACAGAAGTATTTTTTAAAAGCTCCACAAATAATTCTGATGTATGTTCATAGGTGTAAGAACTAGTAGTTTGAAGTAAATCCATTTTTTTTTAGTTGGTCTTCTGTGTATTTGCTAATGGAACAGAAAATACAGTGCTTCTCTGTGGCTGTTTTTTGTTACTGAGGTGTATAGCACCTGCTTCTGAGCAAACTACTGGCGTTCCAGATGTTGCTGGTTTTACTTGAGTCCCTATGATGTGAGCCTTTTCCTCCTCTGCTTTAAACCATTTACACGGGCTCCTTTACATTAGGTTATGCAAACACTCCAAAAGCTTGTCTGCAGGCCAGTCGTGGGAATCCTCTGTACAACTTAAGAAAAACTCTTGATGGGTCTTGGAAAAGTCCCTGGACTCAAAATACTTGATTTTGGTGATAGTCAGCCAAGCTTGTAAATCACTGAGTTAGCATCTATCTGGTGAGAGAAATTAACGTGGAGTTGTTCACAGAGGCACTGGATTGAATCCTGCCTTCTAGGCAAGAAAATCCTTATCTTCCATAGCTTTCCCATCTTCCTCCAAGAGCCTCCTCACCCTGTCTAGATTTACTTACAAGCAATGGAGACGTGGGAGAGAAGACTATTAATTAAAGTTACTACTTAAAGTTTAGGTTATTGTCAAATGTATTCTGAAGCAGTAAATGACTTTTCAGATGGCCTTTCACGGGGTTTGATTTGGGTACACACATCCCTAGTAGTAATGATGGATTTGACTGTACTACAGGAAAGACCAAAGACGTGTTTTCAAAGGTCCCATGATTCAGAGCCAATTAGAAAAGAATAAAGGCTTTCTGTGGTTCTCTGTCCAGTTGACAGAGTCAGGGGAGCTTTTGCTTTTTAGCAGCACAAAAGAAATTGTTCTGCTAACTTTTTAAATCCTGAAAGCCTTGAAAATACAAAATGGTAATTCCACTGTCCTTTAGGCTTAAAAACACATGTACATTTAATGTGTTGTAGATGTGCTTGATTGGTTTTCCCTAGAAACGAGGTTCTAGATGTGAGCACAGGGTCAGATGGACTTGTTTCTCCTACTCATGGGGATGATTGAAGTCTGCTGTTTGCACAGGGCAGGCTCACATACATAATCTTTGCTAATCTGCTAATCTGTTCTCCACACAACCTAAATTTTCTGGGGATAACCATATTTTTTTTAATCCCATCCTCTAGCCAATGAAGATTGTAATACCAAGTGACTCTTTGGTCTGTAGTTTAGTCCTTGTCAAATATGAGATGGGCATGTACCTTCGTCCTCTGTTGTACAGCTAATGTCACTCGTAAATTCTCGGTGTTCTCTGTATTGGGGAATGCAGCTATCCATAAATTTCTTGAGCAGGAAGCTAGTCTTTTGACAGTGGAAAGCTACAGTTGAGGAATTAGAAATTCAGAATTGCAATGAGAAAATGCAGGTGGTGGTACCAGGTTTCCAAGTTTTAATAAATAGAGCGGATGTGGTCTCAGCTAGCTGGTAGGCTGTGAGCCAGCAGTGGTTCATCCAAGGGCCAAGAGTAATCTAGGAAATCCGTGCTACTGTAAATTATGCCCTTTTGTGGGTTAAGAGGTCAAGTATGTAGCTGCTGTTCATTGCAAGTCTAGGTTTCTGGATCCATCCTCCCATACCTCAGAGATTTAATGGACAAAACCAGATCTGGGGAGAAAAACGATGTAATATTTTTGTTGTGAAGAGGTATTGGGATTTTAATCTGTTTCAGGAACTATAATGCGCATCAAAATCAATGTTTTTACATGCCTTGAATGTATTTTAAGACAGTCCAGCTTTCAAGATTACATGTTTCATAGTGTTCAAATCAGAATCTTGTTTTCTTCAGGTACATTCTTAGGAGTAGAATTACTGGGTCAAATGGTATTTCTATTTTTAGTTTTTTGAGGAACCTCCATACTGCTTTTCACAATGGTTGAACCAATTTACATTCCCACCAGCGATGTAGGAGGGTTCTCCTTTGTATCCTCACCAGCATTTGTTGTTTCTAGTCTTCTGGATGTTGGCCTTCCTAACTGGTGTGAAGCGATATCTCATTGTGGTTTTAATTTGCATTTCCCTGATTAGTGATGTGGAGCATCTTTTCATGTGCCTGTTGGCCATCCATATTTCCTCTTTGGAGAGGTGTGTCTGGTCAGGTCCTCTGCCCAGTTTTTAATTGGGTTATTTGTTTTTTGGGTCTTGAGATGTGTGAGCTCTTTATGTATTTTGGATATTAGCCCCTTACTTGATAAATCATTTGTGAATATATTCTCCCATACCATAGGATGTCTTTTTGTCTGCTGAAGGTGTTGTTTGCTGCACAGAAACTTTTTAGTAACCTTTAAGTTCTTACAGACTTCCAGTTACAGTACTGAATTTGGGAAACTAATGCATAAAATGAAACTTTGAACTTCAAGAGAACCCTAGTCTAGTTAGTGACAGCCTCAGGATTTTGACAAAAGGGCAATAATTTGGCTGCAAAGAGGCGGGTCCAGGACCTAGCAAACTTCTCCCAATATCAGGAAAACTTAAGAATGATGCTTTTTGTAGGAAGTGCTAATGGAGATCATGGGAAGGAACTAGAAAAAGAACTGGACACATAGACCCATGGAATAGAATAGTCCAAAAATAATCCCTTACATTTTTCAACTTTTTTGATGAGGGTGACAAGACAGTCAATGGGAAAAAGAGTTTTCAACTAATGGCATTGGGACAGCTGGATACCCTTCACATTTATTTTTGTCTAAATATTTCTTATAATTTCCCATAATTTCTTTTTGGGCAATTGGTTATTTAAGAAAGTGTTGCTTAATTTCCACATGTTTTTGAATTTTCCAGTTTTCCTGTATTGATTTCAAGATTCAACCCACATGCAAAAGAAGTTGGATCCTTGTTTAACACCATATATAAAAAATAACTCAAAATAGTTCATAGACCTAAATGTGAGAGCTTAAATGTTTAGGAGAAAACACAGGAGTAACTCGCCATGACCTTGGATAAGACAACAGTTTCTTAGCTATAATATCTAAAACACAAGCAACCAAAGAAAAATTGAAAACCAACTTCAAATTTAAAATCTTTGTGCTCCAAAAACCGTGAAAAGAACCTACAGAATGGGGGAAAAATACTGGGAAATCATATACTTGATTGCGAAGTTGCACTTAGAATATATAAAAAACTCTTAGAACTCAGTAATAAAAAGAATCTAATTTTTAAAATGGCAAAAGATATGAATGGACATTTCCCTGAAGAAGATACACAAATGGCCAACAAGTACATGAAAAGATAATGTCATTAATCATCAGGAAATTACAAATTAAAATGACAAGATACTACTTCATAACACTAGGATGGCTGTAATCCAAAAGAAAAAACATGGATGTGGAAAAAACAATCCTTGTTACACTGCAGGTGGCATCATCTCAAAGAGTTAAACATAGAGTTAGCATAGCCATTCCTGGGTAGACCCTCAGAATTAAGAACGTGTCCTCAGAAAAACTTACACATGAATTTTATAGCAATTTTCATAATAGACAAATGAAAATAACCCAGTGTCCCTCAAGGGTGAATGGATAAATAAAATGTGATATATCCATTCAGTGGAATATTACTCAGGCATTAAAAGGAATGGCTGACTCATGCTACAACATGGATGAACCTTGAAAACACTCCAGTGAGTGAAAGGAGCCAGATACAAAGATTATATACTATAAGATTTCATTTATATGAAATGTCCAGAATAGGCAAATCCATATTGACCAAAAGGTTAGTGTTTGTCAAGGTCAGGGGAAAAAGGAAATAGGAAGTGACCAATGACAGGTAAATGGTACATGAAATGATTTATGAAATATATCCCAATAGAGCTGATAGAAGAAAACTTTATGTTCACAGAAGTTCAAGCTTCTCATTTACAAATATAATATTAAATGTAAATATATAAAAAATATAAAATATTTGGAAGGTTCCAACAAATTCAATATTTACTGTCTCCTAATATGGAATATTTTATCATAATTATAAAATAGGAAAATGTTCTGAATTCTCCCTATAAATCTCATTTAGATGCCTCTAAAAATCCCCTCCAGTTTGTGTGTACCACACAAATATTGACATGTGCTAAGTATTCCCTAACACATATGCTATACCTACTGGTATAGCAGAAAGATAGTTCTAGAGATGGATAGAGTTGAGTGTCAATCATAATTCTGCTGTTTTTATATGACCACTTTGAGCCATAACCTCTCCGAGTCTTTATTTTCTACTTATAAAATGGGAATTAATATATTTACTTGTAATTACTATGTACTTAACAAGGTTTAGATTTATGAAAATGATACGTATTTGCTTAGTTAAGCCATATTTATGTTAACCACTTTTTAAAAGATTATAACTTACGTTCACCTTTAGAACCTACAAAAAAGCAGGCTGCTGAAGAAAACTGGCTTTATTTAGCTTTGTGATATAATAAGTTATAAGATATACATATTTAGTCATTCGTGTGACCAAATATATATTTCCCAGGTATATTTGGTCTTCATCCACAGTTCCTGAAAACACTGCAGTCTTAAAAGGTGGACCAGGTGTTTTGTCGTGTTAATGAGAGAATTTTAGACCCCACCCAAGGGCAGGGGAACAAGAATGCCTCCGCGTGTCACCAAGCCAGGCCCCAAGCTCCGCAAAGACAGAAGCTCTTTCTTTTATTTGGGACATTGCCTTGTGTCTCTCTTCATCTGGCTGTTAACTTGTATCCTTGATGGTATCCTTTATTAAACTGGTGAACTCAAGTGTTTTCCTGAGTTCTGTGAGCTGCTCTAGCATATCAGTTGAACCTAAGGGGAGGACGTGGGAACCTCCAATCTGTAGTCAGAAGCACAGGTATCTGCCTGGGGCTTGCGACTGTCGTCTGGAGTGGGGGTTGGAGGGCAGTCTTATAGGATGGAGCTCTGAGTCTCTGGGAAGATAGCATCAGAATTGAGTTGAGTTCTTGGGACACCCTGCTGGTGTTCAAGAATTGCGTGGTAGTATGTGTGGGAAGACCCCCTGCCACATGCTTACGTACATTGGAATTGGGTCCGGGAACCCAAACAGTTTTACTACTATTACTGCTGGGTATATTGTTATACATACATGTAGGGAACAAATACACCAGTGCATTTGGTGTCGGGAGTGGGAGTTACAGTATCCAACCATTAAATTACTTTGCTTCCGGATACTACCTAATGCAGAACAAAGTCCCACTTCCCAAAGGAACGAGACCAAATCCTCTTAAGTCCTTAATATTCTCTTGTTGAGATGCTCATGGTTTCCATGGTGAGTGGTCTCCCTCAGCACCATAAACAAAAACTCTTACTTTTTCAACCCTAGGTGTGTGGCTGGAGGAACATCAATTCTTTCAACCCAGGTCTCCTGTATCCCTTCAAATCACATCTTCTAAGTAGCTGTTATGAATGAATTGTGTCCCCTCAAAATCCCTATGTTGAAGCCCTAGCCCCCAAAATGGCTGTATTTGGAGATAGGGTCTATAAAGAGGCCCTTATGGTTAGGTGAGGTCATAGATTGGGACCTTAATCTAATTAGATCCGTGTCCTTAGAAAAGGAAGAGACCAGGGAAGCATGTGCTCAGAGGCAAGGCCCTGTGAGGACAAGCCAGAAGGCAGGTGTCTGTGAGGCAAGGACAGGGGCCTGAGGGGAAACCAAATTCGCCAGCCCCTTGATCTTGGCCTTCCAGCCTCCAGAGCTGTGATCAATAAATTTCTGTTGTTTAAGCAGCCAGCCTGTGGTAGTTCGTTCGTGATGGTCCTAGCAGACTGATACACTAGTCATAAAGTCATTCCACGTGGAAGGCCATTTCTGATCCTCATGTTATCAATTAAGAATAGAGGTATCAGTTGGTGGAAAGAAATGAACTAGAATCCCATCCAGAATTCTTAAAGTATATCAGACTGTCTTCCTTAAGGCATCTAGTTCTTCGTGTGAAACAGCCTATTCTTTCAGGAGACAAGTGACTTAATTTCAACCTGGGATTTAGAAATAATATTTGGAAGAAGTCACATATTAGGAAAGGGCCACTAAGGGTTTCTCACTTGACTCCAGACTTGACTGTTACTGATCAGATGTTCAAAGTTTGTTTTTGTGTTAGAAAAATGTTTAAGTGCCCAGGAAAACTAGAATAATGTGATCAATACCCATGTACGGCAGGCTTTAACAAATCTTAACAATTTATTACATGTTACTGTATCACAGTAAAGTGGCGGGAGACTCTAAAATGCCTTGTTATGAAGAAAAAATCTTAACAATTTGCATATGTGCTTCAGACTCTTTTTTAAAAAATAAGATACTGAAGACACAGTTGAAGTCTGCTGTGAAGCCCTTGTCTGAGTCACCTCCCTCCTTTTCTGAGAGACAACCTGTGAGAGGAGCAATAAATAGCAGCCCCCGAAGATGCCACGTTCTCACTCTGGGACCCTGTGAGTACCTTACGCTGCCTGGCAAAGGGGACTTGGTAGATGTGACTAAATGAAGGATTTTGAGATTGAGAAACTGTCTTGGGTTATCCGGGTGGGCCTGATACAAGAGGGAGCAGGAAGGTCAGAGGGGGAGAAGGAGAGTGAGGATGAGGCAGGTGGGAGGGACGTGGGGCCAGGAGCCAAGGCCAGGGGACAGATTCTCCTCTGCACCCTGCAGAGGGAGGCAGCCCCTGCGGAAACCTTGATCTCGACCTGGGGAGGCCCATTTGGGAAGTGCAAGAGAATTTGTGTTGTTTTCAGCCACTAAGTTTGCGGTCATCTATTATTGGATTAGGAAAATAGGAATCAATAGGGTCTCCAAATTCACTAATGTTCCCTTCTGCAATGTCTGCTCTGCTAAAAAATCCTGTCCAGTAGGTTTTGCATCTTGAACACTTAAAATTTTCATCTCTAGTTTGATGTGGGTCATTCTTTTTTAACATGTTTCATGTCTCTCTACTTAACATGTTCAACCTTTCCTCCAGTTTCTTAAACACGTGGAATGCACTTGTGACAACAATTTTCAGTATCATTTCTGGACTAGTTTCGACTGACTGTTCTTTCTTCTCATTCCGGGATAGTTTTTCCTACTTCTCTGCTTGCCTGGTAAGTTTTGACAGCCACACATTGTGGTTTTCATTGTGTTGGCTTTTAGGTATTTTTTAATTCCTTCACTATTTCTAAGCTTTGTTTGGAAGGCAGTTAAATTACTTGGAAATAGTTGGATGTTGTCGGGTCTGTCAGGTGGGACCAGAGCATTGTGTCAGGTAAGGCTCATTTTTACCCTGGCTGTGGAAATAAAACCTTGCTGGGTACCCTGCCACGTGTCCCCGAGTCATGAGGTTTCCTCTGGCTGGCAGGACCAGCACTGCTAACCAGCCCTGGATGCTATGGCCTTGCTCTCTCTGGGGTGGCTTTTCCCTGCTCTCAGGCATTTCCTCCGACACGCATACTTGAGGGGGGCCCTCTCTGCCCCATACTCTGCCCTGAGGAGTCTGTTTGCTCCAGGTGCCCTGTGGGGTGTCCCCTGAGAGTATCTCAGCTCCATCCTCCAACTCAGGACCTGCTGAGCTTGGCCTCATCCCTTCCCCTGCACAGCCTGGGAATTCTCTAGGCAGTAGTAAGCTGGGGCCCACTGTGGGGCTCTGTCTTAGCCCATTCAGGCCGCCATAACAGAGTATCACAGACCCGGTGGCTTATAAACCACAGACATTTATTTCTCATGGTTCTCAGGCTGGGAGTCTGAGATCAGGGCACCAGCATGGTTGGTCTCTGGTGAGGGTCTCTGTAGACAGCAGACTTCTCGTTGTCCCTCACAAGGCAGAAAGGGGATGAGGAATCTCTCCCTGGAGTCTTTTTAATGCGCTAATCCCATTCGTGGGGGATTCACCCCCATGACCTCCCAAAGGCCCCATCTCTTAATGCCATCACTTTCGGGGGTAGGATTTCAGCATATGTACTTGGGGGGGACACAAACATTCACAGAAGGTTCATCTTGCTTGTTTACTTCCTGTCCCTCACGGATCACTGACCTGTACTGTATGACATCCAATGACTTGAAAACCATTATTTCCTGTATTTCCCCTGTTCTTTTAGGTATTTTATGCAGCAGGGTATATCTGATCCCTGTCACTCCATCCTGACCAAAGCAGAAGTCTTGATTTTATTTAGTTCTAATTAATTTAAATTTAAATAGTTACATGTAGCTACTGGCTTCTGAACTGGACAGCACAGGTTGAGAGTGTCCATCAGCACATTGGACATATTTGTTTACATATTTGTCTCCCCATACTAGGCTGCAAGCTCCTTAAAGAAAAATACTGTTCATTTAGGTAGTCTTAGCTCTAAGTTTATAATAGATATTCAAATAATTGTTGAATGAAAGGCTGAAAGATATATTTTTATTAAAAGTTTTTTTATTATTTCTGTTTTTATTGAAGTGTAGTTAACATCACAATATAGTGGTTAAACAGTTACACACATTATGAAAATGCCAGCTATGATGTCTAGTTACCATCTGTCACCATATAAAGTAATATTATTGACTGTTTTCCCTATACTGCACTTTTATCCCCATGACTTGTTCTATTTTATGTTTTGATATTTTTTATTGACATATAATTTTGTATCGGTTTCAATAGCGATTTGATGGTTTTCTACATTACCAAATGCTCACTCCAAGAGTGAAGTTATGAGTATATTTTTAAACACTGGCTTTGAAGAAATCTTAGAAATCAACCAGTTCAAGCCCCTCATTTTACAGATGAGGAAAATAAAGCCCAGGGAGATTACACAATCTGTCCAAGGTTGTTCGGCCATATTGAGTCAAACCAGGGATGAGAACCTGGCCTTCCTGCTCCCCAGTCCAGTGATTATTTTGCTGTATACACTTTATGCAATAAAGAGACTCAATATAATTGTGAGTTTTAGAACGTGAGATTCATTTTGCTTTGTTCCAACACCAAGAGTTTCCAGTTGGTCATTGAATTTAATTTTATTATTTAATCACTAAAATAAAAGAGTTTTATAAGTCAGTTGTGGTTCCCTTACAATGTCAAAATGCTGTTGTCACAAATGAGTCCATGTGTATAACTGGGGAAGTCAGAACAATGTCAATTTCTTGGTTTTGATAATATAATGTTAACACTGGGAGAGGTTGGGGGAAGGGCACATGGGACCTCCCCATACATTTCTTAGAAACCTCCTCTGAATTTATAATTATTTTAAAATAAAAAGATAAAAACACAGGCTATTGAGTAGAAAACTAACATGTTTTTCTTTACATTTAAAAGGGACCCCCAAAAAATGGTTGTAATGAGAAGAATTGGCCACCACAGGGTGTCACTACTGGTCTGCCACAGTGCTCTGAAAACTTTTTTTTTTTTTTTCCCCTTTCCCCTAAACAAGGCGCGATTCATGAAGGGACTTGGCCCTATTAAAGAATAAAACTGCCATATTCAAACGTTCTTATTGGGAACACTATAAATTCCCAATATCCTACTCTTTTTTAGGTGAAAACAGGAAAACTCTAGAAAGGAATAGAGTTTAAAAAAGGCAAATAGGACATTCTCTGGAGGAGCCTTGCTTCTCAAAATGTGGTCCGTGGACCAGGAGCACTGGCATGGCCTAAGAATTTGTACGAAGTGCAAAACCTTTGGCCCTACCCTAGATCTACCGAATTAGATTCCTAACAAATTCAGAGTGCCTATGCTGCTGGACCACAGAACCACAATTTTAGTTTAAGAGTTTAGAAGAGATAATATGGACGGGGCATGTAAAATACCAGCTGCTGTCAACACAATAAAAACTTCCTGCTGCCAATACAATAAAACCTTCCTAATTTGGAGCTCACTAAATCAGAATTATAATTTAATTTGGACTGAATATTGCAAGCCAATAGTTTATGCACCATGCAATATTATACCCGCACAATTTACACAGAGATGTGTATACACATAAAATAAATAAATTGTATTAAATATTTACTACATATCAAACTTTGCTTCTGATCTTGGGAAAAAAAAAAAAAGCTTAGATAACTCAGTTTAGAAACTTAGGCCAAAAATACTAAATAATGGTTGACACTGACCTATTGAATTTTTTTGATGAAATAATATATTGTATTATTTAATAATTACTGAATTCCAAGAATGTATCAGAGGTCACCTCCTTTCTTTAGACTGAAGTTGTTGAGATGCATAAAGTTTACGAGGTGCTCAGAATATTCTGCAATAAAGCTTTCAGAGTTTAATGGGAAAACATTTTACTTTTTCCTCCCTAGCATTTTTACTTCTTAACCTTCGGGTATTGATGTTGTTTTAGATCTACTTCTTTTTCTTCTTGCAGTTCACAAATGCAGTTCACTTTTCCCATATCCTTCTCCTCATTTTGTAAATGAGCTACAATAAATATTTAGTGTTCCTCTTGGGTCTTTTGCCTTTAAAAATGGCAATATGAATGAATAGCTTCTTAGGAAGAATAACTTTTGTCTACAAAATCAGCAGTTTCTCACTGTTTTAAAGCTATTTTACTTTGCGGCCTTTTAAGAATTTACTGAATTGCCTTCATGAAACAAGTCATTTCCAGAGCTGCTACTTTTATTTTTTAATTGTGGTAAAAAGCACATAACGCAAAAGTCACCACCGGAACTGCTACTTTCGTTTGTAAACACAGTGAACTTTGCTCAGCTTTGGCTTCCTGGAAGGACAGTTTGCTCCCTGGCTGATCACATCTTATTGTTTACTTGTCCTTCTTTGTTTCTGCATTTTGTTCCCTGGCCTTTTCTCTGATTTTATCAGTTCCTGCTTTATTTCCTCCTGGGCTGATCACTTTTCTCACTCTGACGTTTTCATCAGAACAGATATACTGCTGTCGAAATACTGCTTGATTTTCAAAACTAAACATAACATTACATGCCTTCTTTTTGACTTTCATATTTTCTAAGAGCCTTCATGCTACATAGAAATCTTCTGGGGTGTTTTTTAAATTGCCCCCTTAGAATCTCCACATTGCAGACCAATGGTCATCAAGAGCATATGTCCATTACCAGCTTCTTTACATCCACCAACAATCGCCTGTTCTGCTAGGCTTTGGGTTAATTTCTTACTGGCAAATTGCCTTTTATAGAGTATGTATATAGTAGTAGAAAACATTTCTAAGGAAATACATATACAAAAATAAATACTATTGTATTAGTTGAACATCTCTGTTCCAATTACTAATAGATACAATGTTGAGGGAAAAAGATTCTCGCCCTGGCCTTCATGGAGTTTGCAGTCTGTTGAGGGAGACAAATAGCAATCAAATAATATAGAAACAAATGTAACTTTGCCCTTCTGTAATCTTCTGTCCAGTGCCAAGAGGGAGGCACACAATATACTAAATGTCTCTGCCGACAGACTGACTTACTCAGGACAGTCAGAGGTCTCGCTAAGGAAGTATCCCACGGGGGAGCCATGAGTTGGGTTGGTGACATGCTAGGTTAGAAATGCTTCTGAGATATCCAAGAAGATGCAAGCTAGGCAGTTGAACATACAGGGGTGGGGCTTAGAGCGGTGGTTTGGCTAGAGATACATGCGAGAGCCATCAGTGTGTGTAGGACAGTGGAATCCACAAACATGATGAGCTTGAGATTGCCTAGGAGAGTCAAGAATTGAACAGGAGAGGGCATATAAGTGTACTTTCTTGTATGAGTTATGGTTTTGGACATAACTCTTTCAGGCATAATCTTCCCTATTTCTTGGTGGGGTTGAAACCATCCTCAGCTCCAGTCATCACTGTTCAACATGATACGTACAACACACTTGTCTAGCATCCCCTTGGTCTCAGTGATTGATTCAGGATGGCCATAGCCCTGGCTCTGGCCAATGACAGTCAGGTCCTGGGTATTTGTGGGAATTTTTCTAAAATCACATCTTTGTGGGGGTTGCTGAGGAGATGTCACATAGGCCTGGAACTGCTAGCAGCTCACCTGCCCCCACAAGGGGAGGGCCTGCCTGAGGATGGAAAGCAGAGTTGACAGAAAAAGTAGATTCTGGTGACATTGAGACCAGCTTTACGTGGATGATAGTTCCATGAGCTCATAAATTCACTTTCTGCCTTAACCTAGTTTGAGTAGGGTTTACTACCTAAAGATCACTTGTAACTGAAAGTTCTTGACATACCTTTTCGTGAACTTCAAAGAAAACACCAGTAAAGGGCTTTGAGATACCCCAAAGAGTATCTGATTCCCTAAGACTTTGATTCCCCCTTGCCAGAGAGATTTCGTAGCTAGATTTTGATCTCCTCCTATGAAAAAATAATACCAAACCACCGCAGTGTGTACTGTGGATAAACTAGCAGATGGGAAACCAGTCCCTCTGATCAAAACTGAAGAGAAGCAATGTAGGGCTCCCTGACGATGAAGATGAGGTGGGGGAAATTAGCATTTGAATAGAGAAGAATAGGAAACATTTCCAAAGCCACAGAGAACCCAGGAATGTCTAAAACTTGGATGTGTTTATTCTCAAAAGAGATGGGAGATTTAAGTCCATCCTGTAATAAATTTGTGTGAGATATCCTTACTTGAAAATTTTGGTTGAGTTTTCCTCCAAAAAACAATACACATACACACACACACACCGCACACACCTCTTCTAATGAAGACATGCTCATGCTTGAAGGTTGGATGTTGACCGGAAGGGAGCAGAGCCGGCTCAAGTTTTTTTTTTTAATATTTAAAATTTGCAGCACAACCAGATTAGCATGATACAAATTTGGAATTTATTCCTTTTTGCAAATGTCTATAAAATACGTTGCTTTTAATATTTGCTATCCATCAGTCTAGGCTGGCAGATGTAGGTTTGTACTAAGTACATTTTATAACAACTTCACAGGAGGGAAAAATGGCTTCGGACATATTTCTGGAAACATCCATGTGCTGACTCAAGGGAGGTGTTATGTACTGTTTATATTTATGGTTTCTGTGAATTTCCTAATAAGCCTTGGTACCCACCCAAAAGACATAAAAGGCTGCATTAAATTTGTGATCCTTGAGCATGTTAAAAAGGAATGTTAGAACTCCATTGTAGATTAGTTGGATTAAAGGAGCCTGTTTGCTTTAATTGAGACATTAGGTATCTTTTAAACTACAGTGTCAGTGAGTTTTCTTGGGATTTCACGTTAATTCTCATTTACACATGTCCCAGCAATCTCATATGTTAAAAGACAAGGATCTTGAACTAGACATCCCAGCACATCAAGTGCCCTTAGTCTGTGTTTTTGCTCCTTCACAGTGGGGTCCTGTGCTCCTTCCTGTTCTGTGGTCCGTGTCCCAAACTCACATCTTGGGGACGGACCTTCAAACATCGTATTTAATTCAAAGTATCTTACATGTAGGAACCAGGACTGCTAGAGTTGGTAGCTAGCAAACTGCCCTGAATATAGTTGGCACTGATATTTGTTGAACAGATGAATGAAGTTCCCTGGAGTCTATCCACCATCCCAGAGGGACCAGTTCCAGATGGCTTGAGTTCTAGAGGCTGGAGGCAGCAGAAATTATGGGCAGGACTAACTCCATACTCAGAAGATAGGGGGAGGAAAATCAGAAAATCAGCCGGAAATAGGTATCCAGCAGAAGACAAAACACGGGGCAAAAAGAAGTACGGGAAAGAATTGGGTCAGGGTCTGGGAAAGGAGCAGTCCTGATTGCTCAGGCTCCTGATTTCTCAGAAGCTACTAGGAACTGGATTCATAAGGGCACTGATCCCATGTGTAAGCTCCACCCTTATTACCTGGATTCTTTTGAATATTAAATGTATTGTCTCTCCAAATACAAGAGGGAACAGTGCGATACGTTGTGGCATTAAACTTCTATCAAATACTCGGCTGCGATCCAAAGAGAGTCACTTCACAAAGATCTGGTCTCCTACTAGTGTTCAGAGTAACCTTCAGGAGAGCTCCTAAGAATTACTGGAAAAATCGCTGACAAAATCGAAAGTCGTATCATCTCCCAAATTATATATGTATCTGTTCCTTTCTTTTCTTGGATAATTAAGGGCTCTCTTGCCTTATACAATGTTAGGAGCTAGCTGGCAGTTAGTTACACATTTAACAGGATATCCAGGCAACCAGCCCATGGGCAGAGTTTTTAGCAAGCCATTTTTCAAAGCTGAAGAGCATGTGATAAATACCAAGAGAAAGTAAAGAGGAAGCAAATGCATGATCCAGATAAAACCAACTAAGCCAAAGAAAGGGATATTTTTTGTATCTTTCTTATACTCCAACATTTCATCAAAGCATAGTTGGAAAGTAGTCTGATTAATTCATGGTAGGTTATACAATTCACTTATTGAGAAGGAATATAATAACATTAAGCTTTCTTACCTTGTACTTTAAGGTTCCAGCACAGATTCCCATATAACTACAGACAAAATTCCATGTACGGGGCTTGCTGATGAATCATGAGGTCATCTGGTAAACTTGTAGCATTCATCTTTCCAGTTCTGAGTGCTACAGAATTGGAGGTTTTCCTTTTCTGGCACAGGTATGTGACATTTACAAACAGACTTTTATTATCCTTTCTTAGTTTAGATTGTCCTGGTAGTCAATCCATTTCCATAGACAATCCACTATAATGGCCCCACGACTGAGGGTTTATCTCCTTGGCTCCTAGTCCAGTGACTCTCATTTTTTTCTGCTTCAGTTCACCTAAGAATTTTGTCGCCCTTCAATCATCCCCTCAGGAGCAGTTTCTCCAAAGCCAGGGGGACTGGGGAACTGCCCCACCACGTCTGGGGGTGGGGTGGTGCAAGTGCCCCTTTACACCCCTACGATTAGGCTGGAAGAGATTGCTTGTTCATTCATCTACACCTCCAGGGAAGGGTAACTGCTTGTTCTTGAACACCCTCTCTGTTCTAGGTGCCTTACATACATGTTTGCAATCCTCCCACGCCAGAGGGATCATTATATTCATTTCAAAACGATGAACTCAAGGCTCAGAGGTAAGAAACTGGCGTAGGGCCATCCAGATGGGTAAGGAGCAAGTTGGAACTTAACCCGCATTTCCTCGACTCCAAAGTCCCTCCCTTTCTACCATTTGCTACCTCCTAACAGCTAATTCTTTCTTAGATGTTCACCACCTTAGGCCATTTTGGCCGCTCTATTAGAGTACCACTGGGAGGCTTAACCAACATTTATTTTTCACAGTTCTGGGGGATGAGAAGCCTGAGATTAACGGTGCTCTCAGATCAGGGTATCTGGTGAAACCCTCTCCGCAGCTTACAGATGGCCATCTTGTTGTGTAGTCACATGGTAGAGCGAGAAATCATCTCTCTTGTATCTCTTTTACAAGGGCACTGATCCCATGTGTAAACTCCACCCTTATTACCTAATCACCTCCCAATGGCCCCACATCCTAACATCATCACACTGGCGGTTAGGATTTCAACACAGGACTTTGAGGGGACACAAACATTCAGTCCATAACATTTACTTTATATTTATTTAGAGGAGCTTGAGTGAGAGAACATGGTATGTATCACAACATAGAACACCTTTTCCTTTGGAGAGAACTTAGGATGTGAATATATAAAAATAAACAGAAAAACTGCTTTTGTCACTTGTGCATGCCAGCAGCTGCTGAGAATCTTGGAGAGCTTTAGATACATAAAACAGAATCACCATTGCCATTACTGCCTGGGTGTGGGGAACAGCTACCCAGAGACCCCGCGGCCCAAGGGGAAACCACTCCCATTTTCAGATGAGTTCTAGGAGATGGACTTCTTTCACAAGGACACCTAATTTGGTGCCAGCTGAAAGGAAAACCAGGGCAACCAGGAATAGTCTACTGTGTGGACTCCTCATGCAGCTGAGAAATAAGAGGTAGGGCCACATGCAGAGAAGGAGCCCAGGGTGAGCACAGAGACTGAACTCACAAAGTGGTAGAAGAGACCTCAGGAAAAAACGAACCTATAGAAAAAGATCAGCCTGCTCTTCTTTAGAACACACTTCTGGTCATAGGAACTCTGATACACTCGGAGGCGAGGTCTTGGATTATCTGAATGGGCCTGATGTAATCACAAGGGGACTTAGGAGGCAAAGGAGAAAGCAAGAGTCAGTGGCGGTGTGACAAGGAAGCAGTCGGTGCATGGGACGGCACAGTGAGAAGGGCTCCGCGGACCGTTGCTGGCTAGGGAGGTGGAGGCAGGGGCCATGAGCCAAGGAATGCAGGGGCCCCCCGGAAGCTGGAGAGGCCCGTGAACAGATTCTCTCCCAGAGCCTCCAGAAGGAGCCAGCCCTGCTGACACCTTGACCTCGGCTCAGTGACACCCAGGTCAGACTTCAGACCCCTAGAGCTGTAAGATAATAAATATGTATTGTTTTAAGCCACAGCTTAAACAATTTGTTACAGCAACTACAGGAAACGAATACAATTCCATCAAGTTTTTCCTTGTGCTGGCAGAATAATGTCCAACCAAGGCAGCTTTACAGGGCCCTTCAGGGCAGGCTCACCTTGCCTGGTCTCCCACCCAGATGTCTGTGCATCTTTTTTTTTTCTTTTGGTTTCATTAATATACAATTACATGAGCAACATTGTGGTTACTAGATTCCTCTCATTTGTCTGTGCATCTTTATGGAGGTAATTAAAATTAAGTGAAACCATAAGGGTGGCCCTAATCCAAATGATGGTTGTCGTTATTAAGAAGAGAAAAAGGCACCAGGGATGTGTGTGCATGTCCTGGTAAAGCCATTTGGGGACACACAGAGACAGTGGCAGTCTCCAAGCCAAGGAGGGTGACAGCCCTGTGAACAACTTGATCTTGGACTCCCTGCCACCAGATCCGTGAGGAAACTAATCTTGTTTAAGGCGCCAGATCTGGTATTTTGTTATGACGGCGGGAGCAGACTCATGCACCTCCCTTGGAAATCTGCATCCCCAGACCATGTAAGAGCCACCTAGCTAGTCTCCCTGCTCCCTGTCTTGTCCCTCTTACACCCTAGTCTCTGCATGGGGGCTGGAGAGAACTTTCTAAGTCAGATGATGACACTCCCAATTCTGATTGGTCCACCAGTGATTCCCATGCTACACAGAACAAACTCCAAATTCCAAATTGTGGCTGGTCTGTCACTTGGGCCTTTCCCGCCTATAGGCCTTTCGTGTTTCCCAGACACCAAGCTCGGGCCTCGGGCCCTTTGCACTTGCTCTTTGCTCAGCGGGCACATGTACCACCTCTGCAGGCTGTCACCTTCCCTGACACATCCGCCCTCTAGTGCAACCTTCCCATCACTGCCACGTTACCCTGCTTTCCTCTCTTTGGTTTTCACGGCCCGAAAATGGCCTCCTTTGTGTCCTGTGGGTCTATACCCCACCGCCCCTCCGATTATGGGGCAGAGGCTCTGCCTTGCCCACGGTTGAGCCCCAGAGCACCGTGCAGAGCCCTGCCCACAGGGGAACCTGGCTGTTTAAAATACAGGTGATGAGGTGGCATGTGGGCGGGGACCTGAAGGACGGAGGCAGGCCCTCCAAGAGCCAGAAGAAGGGACTGGACCCGGCTGTCCTTCCATCCGAGCCGCGCTGGGTTCCGTGAGCTGTCATCTTAGGAATGGGGACAATAATGGTTGTTCTGCGGCTCCAAAGAGCTGCTCTGCGCGCTGCAGGAAGCACTGCATAAGGATTCGCTGAAGAGCCTCCCCCGGGAGGCTTCCGGATTCCCGAAACTAGGTCAGTTCCCGGTTAGACGCGATCCCGGCCGCCCGCTCCGCTCCGGGAACCGCGCCGCACGTTTGAACCACACGTCCGCGCCCGTCACTCAACAGGCCGGGTGCGTCCCGCGCACGACGCGCCACGCCCGGGGGGATCGCGCACCGCCTCCGGGACCGCCCGGAGCCCGCGCGGCGAACGGTCGCCTTCGCCCGGCCCGACGTGGCGCCTCCATCGCCCCCGGCGCGACGTTCGCGGGCGCAGCCAATGGCGGCTGCTCCTGGGCGGCGGGCGCGGCCTCCGGCCACCAGGGGGCGCCGCGCGGGCGCAGGGAGCCGCTGCCGCCGCCGGTCGCGGAGAGAAGCTGCGAGCGAGCACCCAGGCCGCCCCGCCGCCGCCCGCCGCCCGCCGCCCGCCGCCCGCCGCCCCGCGCGGCCGCCCCGCAGGTAGGTGGGCGCCGGTACCCCGGGCTCCGCCGCTGTCCTCGCGCGCGCGCGCGCGCCCGCGCCCCCCGCCGCCTCGTGTTCGCGCGCGGCCGTTAACCGACTCCGGGGGAGGGGCGGCTGTCGGGCGCCCCACAAAGGGCACGCGGCCCCCCGGGACGCACTGAAGCTCGGCGGCCAGTGGGCGCGAGGGCTGAGCCCCTGCATGCCCTGCCCGCGTGCATTTTGCATTTCCGTTGGCCAGACACCTCCTCCCTGGCTGTGTAACTCAAAACGACATGCACTTTTTCCTTATTTGTGTCTGTTCTGGTGATGGCGGGTCCCCTAATTCAGTATCTGGGGCTCGGGGGCGGGAAGGATGCTCGCGCGGTGCCTGGCTCTTGTATTTCGAGTTAATCCCGCTCCCTTTTTTTTTTTTTTTTTTTTTTTGCGCGCGGGGCTCACATCTAGGCCGGGTGGCGACTGGCTTCCTGTCTTTATTGTGGATGCCGAGACTGCCGGGTTTGGGGTTTCTTTTCCCCACCCTTCCAGAATGAAGACCTGTCAGTTCTCATTAGCGCGCATTTCCTGCTGGGGATGGTCATCGTAGGGGTGTGGTCAAGCTGGAAGGCGCTGGCAGGGCCCAGAGGTTGCGCCTGTGCCCTGATTGGTGAATTTATCTGTAATTGGGTATTTTTCCCGTTTCCCCCTTCGCACCCCATTCTCGCCTCCACCCCTCCATGTTTAGGGCTGAAAGAATATACCCTTGTTAGGTATTTAAAGACGGAGGATCTGCTTAAACCAGGCCTGCGCTGCCCCGGAAAGTGACCACAGGCCACTCGGGACTGTTGAGCACTTGGAATGTGGCTGGACGGAATTGAGATGTGTTCCCGGTGGAACAGACCCACCTGATTTTAAACACTTAGTATGGGGGAGGGGGGAGTAAAATACCGCACTCAAAGTTTGTTACGCTAAAATAATACATGTTGAGATGATAATATTTTGAACATGCTGGGGTAACTAAAATATATTATTAACATTAACCTTGCTGGGTTTTTTTTTTTTGTACTCTTAACGTGGCTTTTGAAAACGGAAGATTAGGTATATGGCTGGCATTACGTTTCTATTGGACAGGGATCAAATAGAGCATTTGAATGGGGGCAGGGTGGCTGGAGCCCATGCCATCTGCTTATCTTTTCCTGCTCTCTGATGGCATGTCACCTCCTGTACCCTAGACTCTCAGGGAACCCCCTGCCTCTTCTCACCCTCAGCTGAACCAAATTGTTGATCTGGCTGCACAATGAGGAGCTTGTCCTAATTTGCAGAATAATTCAAGTTAATGGATAGAATTTTCTTTGTTGAAAATTCTCTCTGCTGTGTATGGGAACCTGGACATAGTTGCATAAGGTTCAACTCAGAATCAGATCAGGAGTTATCGAGCTGAATATTATCAGTATTTGTGTGTGTGTGTGTGTGTGTGTGTGTGTGTGTGTGTGTGTGTGTGCAAAGAGCATGTTAATTTTCAGAGCCTGTGTCACCTAAATGAACTGGAAAGCAATGCTTTCCTTCAAGTTACTTGGGTCATCCCTGACTTATACCCTTCCTTTCCCATTCTTCAGATACTGTCAGTTTTTGCCATAAAAAATGGTGCATCTCAGCTATATTGTCCCACAATTCTTGATTTTGATCGATTTAAAAACCTGCCAATTTGGGTGGGTTAAATTGGCGTTGCAGGAGGTAGGGAGTCAGTTACAATAGACTCTACAGTCTAGGAATGTTGAGAGTAGCTGTAGGTTTGGAACATTCCAGTAAAGGACTAGGAGATAGAAACAAAGAAACAAAAGGCATCTATACCCTGTGGCCTGGAATAATCTAGAACAGACTTTCTAGAGTAAGCCTGATATGCAGAAACTTGTTTACTAGATAATATCTTGAGGTGTGTTTGTTTCAGTGAAAATATTTTTCCTCCAGAATCTAGGATTGGAAATGAAATTTGTCTTCTCTGAGGTGTGAGGTGTTTATAAATCAAGGAAAAAAACTTAGGATGAGATTTTTAGGAGTTAGAGAAATATTAAAATATCAATCCAGAAGTTTTAAAATTAATGTT